ATTAATAGTAACACAATAATAGTAGGAGACTTTAATACCCCACTCACAACTATGGATAGATCAACTAAACAGAAAATGAACAAGGAAACACAAACTTTAAAGGACACAATGGACCAGCTAGACCTAATTGACATCTATAGGACGTTTCACCCCAAAACAATCAACTTCACCTTTTTCTCAAGTGCACACGGAACCTCCTCCAGAATAGATCACATCCTGGGCCATAAATCTAGTCTTGGTAAATTCAAAAAAATTGAAATCATTTCAGTCATCTTTTCTGACCACAGTGCAGTAAGATTAGATCTCAATTACAGGAAACAAATTATTAAAAATTCAAACATATGGAGGCTAAACAACACGCTTCTGAATAACCAACAAATCATAGAAGAAATCAAAAAAGAAATCAAAATATGCATAGAAATGAATGAAAATGAAAACACAAGAACCCAAAACCTTTGGGACACTGTAAAAGCAGTGCTAAGGGGAAGATTCCTAGCATTACAGGCCTAACCTCAAGAAACAAGAAAAAAGTCAAATAAATAACCTAACTCTACACCTAAAGCAACTAGAGAAGGAAGAAATGAAGAACCCCAGGGTTAGTAGAAGGAAAGAAATCTTAAAAATTAGGGCAGAAATAAATGCAAAAGAAACTAAAGAGACCATAGCAAAAATCAACAAAGCTAAAAGCTGGTTTTTTGAAAAAAATAAACAAAATTGACAAACCATTAGCAAGACTCATTAAGAAACAGAGAGAGAAGAACCAAATTAACAAAATTAGAAACGAAAATGGAGAGATCACAACAGACAACACTGAAATACAAAGGATCATAAGAGACTACTACCAGCAGCTCTATGCCAATAAAATGGACAAGTTCTTAGAGAAGTATAACTTTCCAAAACTGAACCAGGAAGAAATAGAAGATCTTAACAAACCCATCACAAGCAAGGAAATCGAAACTGTAATCAGAAATCTTCCAGCAAACAAAAGCCCAGGACCAGATGGCTTCACAGCTGAATTCTACCAAAAATTTAGAGAAGAGCTAACACCTATCTTACTCAAACTCTTCCAGAAAATTGCAGAAGAAGGTAAACTTCCAAACTCATTCTATGAGGCCACCATTACCCTAATTCCAAAACCAGACAAAGATGCCACAAAAAAAGAAAACTACAGGCCAATATCACTGATGAACATAGATGCAAAAATCCTTAACAAAATTCTAGCAAACAGAATCCAACAACATATTAAAAAAATCATACACCATGACCAAGTGGGCTTTATCCCAGGAATGCAAGGATTCTTTAATATCCGCAAATCAATCAATGTAATACACCACATTAACAAATTGAAAGATAAAAACCATATGATTATCTCAATAGATGCAGAAAAAGCCTTTGACAAAATTCAACATCCATTTATGATTAAAACTCTCCAGAAAGCAGGAATAGAAGGAACATACCTCAACATAATAAAAGCTATATATGACAAACCCACAGCAAGCATCACCCTCAATGGTGAAAAATTGAAAGCATTTCCCCTGAAATCAGGAACAAGACAAGGGTGCCCACTCTCACCACTGCTATTCAACATAGTTTTGGAAGTGTTGGCCACAGCAATCAGGGCAGAAAAAGAAGTAAAAGGAATCCAGATAGGAAAAGAAGAAGTGAAACTCTCTCTGTTTGCAGATGACATGATCCTCTACATAGAAAACCCTAAAGACTCTACCAGAAAATTACTAGAGCTAATCAACGAATACAGTAAAGTTGCAGGATATAAAATTAACACACAGAAATCTCTTGCATTCCTATACACTAACAATGAGAAAACAGAAAGAGAAATTAAGGAAACAATACCATTCACCATTGCAACAAAAAGAATAAAATACTTAGGAGTATATCTACCTAAAGAAACAGAAGACCTATACATAGAAAACTATAAAACACTGATGAAAGAAATCAAAGAGGACACAAACAGATGGAGAAATATACCGTGTTCATGGATTGGAAGAATCAATATTGTCAAAATGGCTATACTACCCAAAGCAATCTATAGATTCAATGCAATCCCTATCAAACTACCAACGGTATTTTTCACAGAACTAGAAAAAATAATTTCACAATTTGTATGGAAATACAAAAAACCTCGAGTAGCCAGAGTAACCTTGAGAAAGAAGAATGGAACTGGAGGAATCAAGCTGCCTGACTTCAGACTATACTACAAAGCCACAGTCATCAAGACAGTTTGGTACTGGCACAAAGACAGAAATATAGATCAATGGAACAGAATAGAAAGCCCAGAGATAAATCCACGAACCTATGGTCACCTTATCTTCGACAAAGGAGGCAAGGATATACAATGGAAAAAAGACAACCTCTTTAAGAAGTGGTGCTGGGAAAACTGGTCAACCACTTGGAAAAGAATGAAACTAGAACACTTTCTAACACCATACACAAAAATAAACTCAAAATAGATTAAAGATCTAAATATAAGACCAGAAACTATAAAACTCCTAGAGGAGAACATAGGCAAAACACTCTCTGACATAAATCACAGCAGGATCCTCTATGACCCACCTCCCAGAATTTTAGAAACAAAAGCAAAAATAAACAAATGGGACCTAATGAAACTTAAAAGCTTTTGCACAACAAAGGAAACTATAAGCAAGGTGAAAAGACAGCCCTCAGACTGGGAGAAAATAATAGCAAACGAAGCAACAGACAAAGGATTAATCTTAAAAATATACAAGCAACTCCTCCAGCTCAACTCCAGAAAAATAAATGGCCCAATCAAAAAATGGGCCAAAGAAGTAAACAGACATTTCTCCAAGGAGGATATACAGATGGCACAAAAACACATGAAAAGATGCTCAACATCACTCATTATCAGAGAAATGCAAATCAAAACCACAATGAGGTACCATTACACGCCAGTCAGGATGGCTGCTATCCTAAAGTCTACAAGCAATAAATGCTGGAGAGGGTGTGGAGAAAAGGGAACCCTCTTACACTGTTGGTGGGAATGCAAATTAGTACAGCCACTATGGAAAACAGTGTGGAGATTTCTTAAAAAGCTGGAAGTAGAACTGCCATATGACCCAGCAATCCCACTTCTGGGCATACACACTGAGGAAACCAGATCTGAAAGAGACATATGCACCCCAATGTTCATCGCAGCACTGTTTATAATAGCCAGGACATGGAAGCAACCTAGATGCCCATCAGCAGACGAATAGATGAGGAAGCTGTGGTACATATACACCATGGAATATTACTCAGCCATTAAAAAGAATTCATTTGAATCAGTTCTAATGAGATGGATGAAACTGGAGCCCATTATACAGAGCGAAGTAAGCCAGAAAGATAAAGACCATTACAGTATACTAACACATATATATGGAATTTAGAAAGATGGTAACGATAACCCTATATGCAAAACAGAAAAAGAGACTCTGATGTATAGAACAGACTTGTGGACTCTGTGGGAGGAGGCGAGGGTGGGATGTTTCAAGAGAACAGCATCGAAACATATATATTATCTAGGGTGAAACAGATCACCAGCCCAGGTTGGGTGCATGAGACAAGTGCTCGGACTTGGTGCACTGGGAAGACCCAGAGGGATAGGGCGGAGAGGGAGGTGGGAGGGGGGACCGGGATGGGAAATACATGTAAATCCATGGCTAATTCATTTCAATGTATGACAAAAACCACTGCAATGATGTAAAGTAATTAGCCTCCAACTAATAAAAATAAATGGAAAAAAAAAAAAAACAACCAGATAGCCATGATGGTATGATCTGTCCCTAGAGCCAGATATCCTGGAATGTGAAGTCATGTGGGCTTTAGAAAGCATCACTATGATAAAAACTAGTGGAGGTGATAAAAAAGAAAAAAAAAAAAATAAAATAAAGACTAAAACTGTCATTGGACTATGGAGGAAAAAAGAACAGATAAGAGGTGCCCCAAATTGAGATTTCCACTGCATTTATGTGACTAAAAAAAAAACTGAGACTTCAGAGTGGGGTCCCAGATGCAAGCAAAAGTGAACAAGTACATGCTTTTCTGTTTCAGCTCCCTTACCCAATGACACTCTGAACATCATTATGGATAACAACTGGGAAAATGATGGAAAAACAGAAAAAGTGATAGGAAATGGAAGAGTCAAACCTGAAAGGATGTATGATAACATCATCTGTATACAATATCATCTGTATATAAAAATATCTGTGTAAATGATAGGATCAGGGGCAGCAAATCTGAACATAACTGGGGAAGTTAGGTTTTTTCAGTTGTTTCTATTCAGTGTACAGTTGTATAGTTGATTAAAAATACAACTGACAAGAATTCTGCAAATTAAGGTAAAATAGAAATAATGTAGAAAGAAGATTCTAGAACATTCAGGCAGTAACCTCATGTTCCATGAGGACTGGAACATGGCTGATTTGTTTGCTGCAGTATCCCCCATGTCTAATAGACTCCTCAGTATACAGTGGTGCACAATCAACATTTGCTAAATGAATTAAAAACCAGTGAACCAAAAGCATTATCCTTCAATGGTTAGTAGATATGTATTATATAAGGCAACCAGATGCAAAGAGAAACAAGCCACCCAAAGTCAAAGAAGTCAATGAAATAAAGACATCTAACCTATCTTCAGAGGAAATATCGGTTCTTGGAGTAGTCCTAAGAGTTACAAGTATAGCAACAAGAGCTAACATTACTGAGAAAAGTATGTGTTGTACCAAACACATTAGATGCTTTTCATACATTTTCTCACTGAGCCCTTCTGAAAACCCTCTGCAGGAGGCACTGGTGACATCCTCATTTTTCAATACAGAAACTGAGGCACAAAAAGGCTAAAGACTTTCTCCAGATCTTCCATCTAGCAAGTGGTGAAGCTGAAACTGTATCCTGTCAGTCTGGCTCCAGAGCCCGGCTGGCAATCACCTTATTCCACGGGAATCACCTTCACGGGTCCCACCCCCTTGCAAAGGTCAGCCTCTCACCTGGGCAGCACAGATGCTGTACTGGGTAAACATGGCTTCATACAAGGCCATCAGCCCACTCTGTCCAGCAGCTGCACAGGCTCGGGCTTCTAAGACTGGAATTGCCTATAACATGCCAACAGACAAGGTCTGGTTGGAAGGGTGGGGAGGAGGCCTAAGGACCCAGTTATAGGGGGTGGGGAAGCCACACTCACCATCTCTTTCAGGTGGTTCTGCCCTGAGTGTAGAGCCTGCCTTACGCTCTGAGACAGAAGGATCTCATGGCGCAAGCGCTGCTTGCCGAAGGCTACAGCTCCACTCGTCACCAGCATCATCTCTCGGCCTTGATTCTGCAGCACTGACACCTGACGATGATGAAGGAAAAGGCACAAGTCCCTGTAATATCTCTTTACTCTCGTCACAAGAGATTCAGGCAGGGTAGACTAATGAGTGGATCCCAAGTGCCAGTTGATAGATCAGCACTGGGCTGGCTCTGGAAGAAATCACCCAGGTTGTGTGATAAAAATACACAGTTCTACACACTTCCTCAAATTTGACAAGTAGATGGCAGACAGAAATGAGAAGTTTTAATAAGGGGATTCTGGTATGCAGCCAGGTTTGGCACCGATAGGACTTGAAGATACATAGAAGAGTCTATAATGTGGAAGGCCTAGCTGTTTGAGGAAATGAAGCCCAGAACACAAGTCTGGAGCCAGGAAGTGCAGCATAAACTTAGCAGATGGCTTCTCAAATTCTAAGGCATGCCCTGGGGAGATGACGCTGTTTCCAGGGCACGTGTGACTTCTGTGGGCAGCCTCTGGCTAGACCAGGGACAGACGCTGCTGCTCTTCTGCTCTGTCTGCCTAAAACAATGTTGGTCACTATGTTTCCCACCTAGGAGGGATCCACATGAGAGAATCAAAAAGTCAATATTCCTAACCTGTCCATTCCTCCTGATGCTTGAACCCTAAAACCCGGTTCAGGGACTTATAAGACAGCTACAATAAATCATAATCTAAAAAATGTATTTCTTACACAACATAGTAAATCAACTGTACTTTAATAAATTTTTTTTAAATGAGAAAAAACTTATTACCATAGAAAATTTCATACTTAGGCAAAGTGGTAAGAATCAAATGATAAATTCCTATGGACTCATGACCTAGCTTCAACAACTGTCTCTCATGGCCAATTTCTCACTCTCCAATATTCCTTTTATAGCTCAATTGTTATTTAAATATGAATCCCAGACTCCAGACACATTATTTGCTGGTTTGCAAATATTTCTGAAAGTAATTGCTAAAACACAGGGTAAATGCATATATCCACAAAACTAAATTATCTAAAACATTTCAATAATTCCCTAATATCAAATAGTCAGTGTTCACATTTTCCCACTTTTTTAAGCTTGCTCAAATTGAGATGCAAATTAAGCCCACACACTGCAATTAGTTGAAGGGTCTCTTAATTCATTTGTAATCCATAGGTTCCCCTCTATCATTTTCTTCCCTTGTAATTGTTCATTAAAGAAACTGGGTTGTCCTTCAAGGTTTCTCAACCTTGACTTTCCTGCTTCTGTCCCTATGATACAGTTTAATGCTGTATTCTCTTTGCTGCAAACTGCTGTTAGGTATAGAGATTTGATCTTTTTTGTCAAGAATTCTTTACATGTCATGGTGTCCATCAAGGGGATATAGGAGGCCTGCAGGTCTTTTTGTGATGTTAGTTACTGTTGATGATAATCACCAAGACCGGTTAATTCATTACGGGCTACACTGATATTCTAATTAATTCATTTCTTCCCTATTTAAAGGCTGGAATACTTCCATAAAGGGAAACTTTCCTTCATCAACTATTTGGCTACCTTGAGGTATGGGTTATATGTGAAAGGTAGCACAGATGTGTCTTTCCCTTTATTCACCAGTTTCCTAAATGAGTAAGCTCTCTGGAATCCTTCAAAAGTAGCCAATGAATATTTTTTAAGTATCATTGTAATTCATAGATTTAAATATATTTCATGTGCTTAACTTCAGTGCAATAATTATTGATATTCAGACATTCCCATCTTCGGCCAATGGAATCCACTTTAAGTTGACTCCTAAGTCTACCTAACATGATCAGATCCTTGGACAAGATAGTGGACTCCGTATGTCAGGACTGCCCTGGCCTAGAAAACTGTTCCTTAAGGTCCATGGGTGTCCCTAGAAGGAGAGCTGGTGACCTAAGCAAACCATTACCAGGTTCTCCCCACTGATTTCATCAAGTTTCTCCTTTGCTCAAAATCTTCAATCTTCCTTTTAGGCAGAAACCCAATTCCTCCACCCAGTGTTAAAGCCTTAACTAATGGAATTAGACACATCCTCCCTGATGAAATCACCTCCACTGCCTTCAAGCTCAGCTCCCTCCCCGGCCCATCAGCATGCCAAACTCATTCCTGCTTTTGTCTCCTGTCTGGAGACTACTCCTGGAGCCTCCCTGTTCCCAGGACCACCAGGCTACACAATTCCAGGGGCACCATTCACAATGTGCACTTAGCAGCATGGAACACTTCCCCTCTGCTGCTTCAAATCCTGTCAGCCACAAAGGCTCACCCTGAGTCTCATCTCTCTGAGGAAGTTCCAACAGTGACCACACTCTCATCCAACCTTCCCACCTCCTGACCTGTCAGTACCTCTCATTTGGGCCCTCTCATTTGGATATGGTCTGCCTTGAACAATCACCTAATTATTTTGGGAGTCCCAGTTTATTCTGGTTTCCCAAGGGGAGAGACTACAGTTAGAGGCAGACTTCTATTTACACAGGGACCAAACGCTGTCTCCAGATTGAATTACCAAGAGATCTGTGCAAGGAATCTTGGAAGTAGCCCTTTGATAAAAATTTATTAAACTGAACTGAGGGACTCAATCTGAAAGGCAGATCTCATGATAACTGCTTAGTACAGAAAACATATGATAAAAATTCCATTAAGTTTTAGCAGTATTCTAATACCCACTTCAGTAAAAATGTTTTTTAAAACTGAAAACATGGCTATGGAATATAGAGCTGAGTTACAGCTAGGACAGAAAAACTCCAGGTTTATCTCAAGGATATTTGGATGTCTGGTTTTTTGACTCTTGGTCAAGAGTTGACAAACTATGACCTGCAGGTCAACTGTGACCTGCGCCTGTTCTTGGAAACAAAGTTTTATCAGGACACAGCCACACCTGTTCACTTACGTACTGTCTAAGGTTGCTTCTGTGGTACAATGGTATGTGAGTAGTTGAGACAGACACTGAATGGCTCACAGAGAGTAACACATTCAGTACTGGTCTTTTACAGGAAAAGTTTGCTGATCCCTGCACTCCTAGAAAACATACGGGTAGTGGGATTTGTGATGTGATGTTTAAAGTCCAAAACTCACATGTTGACCCCTTAAAGTCAGTTTCTTTACTGATAAACTACCAGCGGTCAGTCTGGTAAAAAATTCCCACTGAAAACTGCTTTGAGGCCTTGCAAAGCCAAGATTCCTCACACAGACCTCTTGGTGATTCAATCTGGAAATAGTGTGTCCTGTGCAGATAAGGACCCTGGGGGGCTTGTGCACAGGATTTCTCTCAGCCCCTCAATGCTTGCTTATCCTCCCTGCTGTGGCCTTACATCCCTATGCCTTTAAGTGAAAGTCTTATATGGGTATTCTCTGTGGAGTCTGGTGAGTCTTTTCAAATATTTGAACTGTGGAAATATTTGCAATGACAGCTCCTACTTATTTCAAGATTACTGGGCTAATTAAAAAAGATAAAGCCTAGCAAAAGGTGGGAGGAAGCTCAATATTCACACAAATCCAGAGTTGAGTACTCAACTCTAACTACTACTACTGGGGGAACTTTAAAAACACAGAGGGGTGAGCCCCACCCCATCTTCACTTATTAAGGCGGCTGAGTAAGCCCAGGCATCGCCAAGCCCCTCAGTGATTTTAATGTGCAGCCTGAATTAAGAACCAGACATACACAGCTCCTTCTCCCTAAGAAGCCTGAGGGATGAACTGCATGAAATCAACTCCACTCCTCAACACTCCCTCTGCTTGTCCTGGGATGCTGTCTCCTGGTGGCACCTTTTTCAGGAAAGGCAGTTTTCAGATTGGGTTAAATCTACTGTAGTCAAATGAGGATTACTTTTACAAGCTAAGAAATCTGAAATGACAGCCTAAAAAATGGACTTTGTTTTAGTTCAGAAGAATTTTCCATCTTGGGAATTACCTGCTCAACAATAGACGCCAGGCGCCCCAGGGCCAGGCCACATTCATCCCCTCGGGTCACCACGGCACTTCCAAGTTTCACCACAATTCTCTTTGCATGCTTCAGCTCACTGCGGTGGGCAAAAGACTTGCCATGTGTACGACTGAGGGGCACAGTGATAAAGGGTATGTTGCTCCAAGAACGAACATGTCTGATGGCTGAAGGCTGAACATGACCTGCAGAACCCAAACAAAGTCAAATGCAAGAAAAAAAGACAGAAGTACGCAATATAATTTCTCATTGAAAATATGCATGCAAAACAGTAGCCAGTTCAGCCACCAAAAAATAGTTTTACCATTCTCAACTGAAGAAAACCAGTATATGAAAAGACACATCAAGCATGTTTTAGTCCAGTATTGTGTGGAATTTGTATCCAGTACACAGGTTCACTCCAATATTGCTGGTCAAGAATTGAAACAAAACAATCTTTCCTGAAGACATGTTGGCAAAATGTATTAAAAACCTTAAAAATATTCACATCTTTGATTCAGCAATTCCACGTTCAGGAAATTTATTCTAAGGAACTAATCTGAGATAGAGACAAAGAAATTTATCAGCAGGCTATTCATCAGCATTATTTATAATAGGAAAAATCAGAAGCAGAGTAAATGTTCAAAAATGGGTAGGAAGATTTAACATTTTTAGAATTTTTAATAATATGGGAAAATGGTCATGATATGTTGTTTCACATACATTTCTAAATGCATACAAAAAGGTAAATAAATAAAACTATTAATATTTTATCTCATGATGATATTATGGGTGACTTATCTTTCTTTATTCTTATCTATGTTTTCCAATCTTATGCAGCAAAAATGTATTGCTTTCATAACCAGAAAAATACGTGTGCTTTTAAAGAAACCACACTGCTTTAAAAGAGTCTGATTAGCTAAGACAATATAAAGTAACTGGTATAAGTAATAAAAAATCATAACTAATCTCCCTATAAATTTTCTCTCAAACATGGCAGCATGAATTCAGATGTCTGTAACAAGGATAAAAGAAACTGGATAGCTTTCTGAAGGAAAAGTAATGCTGGAGTCAGAGCCTTCTTTGTATCCCTGTGGACATCTGCGCCTAATCAATTCTTTCCTGATTCTTCTTGTAACACTCAACAAGATTTCTAAGGGACCAAACAAAAACATAAATAATCCCAAAAAGAATCCTCACCACAACAAAACAAAAAACTTGATTAAAAAGCTGCAAATAAGTCACACCTGAATGTCAGGCACTGAACCTCCTTACCACTTCTCGTGATTCCGACTTCCTGCTGACTGCCTTCCCTCACAGAGTTCTCTATGTATCACCACAGACCTTAATAAATACTGGAATGAGTTACTAAAGTAATCATTCTGAGCCACCTTTCAGACTATTCTAGAATTCTACTATTACAGAGTAACCTCTTTCACTTGAATCAACCACTCTCACCTCCCTTTGTATTTACAGACAGATTTCTCAGAATTTCTCTACCCAGTGCCTCCATCTCCCGACCACTGACTCCTCTAACTGTAACTGAGCATCCATCTGCTGTCTCTGCCAACACTACAAAAATTAGGGTACAGCAGGCAGAACCCTATTCTCATGGACCAGATCACTGTGTGTTCTCCCTCTCTACCTCCCTCACACACAAACCTGAGAAAGAACATTTTAAATGAAGTCATAAAGGGTCTTTTCTCTCCTCTCTTAAATAACCATTTCTTTAAGTGACAATGTTTCAGATCTGTGGAGATTAAAGAAAGATGATATGGTCTTTTTTCACAACACACTTGCAATCTGGTTTCCAGCAGAGAGCTGCACAGTAAGCCCATCACCTGGGATACAACTGGAGCTTGAAACCCTTGCTAGACCTGTTCCTGGTGAGGGGATCCTAGGAACCAAAGGACCGGTGTTCTGTGGGGGCTGTTCCCTGGACAGCTCTTTCTTCATCAGGTTCATCAATATAGGTACCCTGGCCTAGTCTTCAGGGATACTATCCTAAGCAATACACACACCTAAGTCTACGTGTAAAAACTGTATACCTAATAGTTTTGGCCCCACTGACCTGATGGAGAAAGGGGTGTAGAGGGAGAGACTTACTCCCCTGGAGTTTGGACCTGTGATTGTCAGTGGCTGTATGCAGCGGTCAGAGCTGTACACGCGTAGCATGCATCTCTCTTGACAGCTCAAGGCCTGGTGGCCACTTTTCTCTCCTGTGCATTGTAGACATGTCCTGGCCTAGAAAAGTGCTGTGCATGGGTGGGGCAACCTGAGAGGGCACCTCAGGGACACAGGTAGTGGCAAGCAGGTGAGTCCAAGCAGGCCAGGTTAGCATGAATGAAACTCCTGATCCACAGTCTGTATCAGCAGAGGAGGGTGGCATGGCTTGGTGCCAGGCAGTCAAGGGTCACTCTGGCGACAGGCAACTGGGTCACAGCACATCAGGTTTAAGGAAAGGTTCAAGAAGAGGCCACATCTATGAACAAGGTTTTAAGCAAATAAAAGCTCAGTCACATCCAGTGGGCTCTGCATCAAGGAGCATTCTACAGGGCCCAGGGCTTTCCCAGGTTTCCTATTCTGTGACAATGTGACAATGCTGTCACCCTTCTTCAGGAAGATAAATTGACCCTATCTTCCTTGAGGGCATTTTTTACATTCTGCAGTGTATTATACTTTTGGGGGTTCATATTAAGGACTGAGAAGGCCTTGATTAGTTAGGAAAAATCCACGGCTTCTGAATAGGTAATCTCTTCCCATTTTCTAAGGACCTTTAGGCCTCAAGTCTCAAAGAAAAGCCATCTACTCCTGTTAAGGATGAAGGGATACCAAGGTACATATGTATACACATGTGCTGGGGGAAGGGGTTGCCTATATTCCTTAAAAGTGCCACAAGTCACACTTCAAGGGAGAAGCCCTTTAGCTTTTCAGCATCAGGGTCCTAATACTCAGTAATGAGGCTGTGTTTCAGGCCTGAACAGGAAGGGACCTGGACATGGTTTCTATTTCCCTTCCTGGTATTCCACTTCCCTCTTTGTATCTACATGCTTTCTCATTTTGCCTTTTTCTTTTTTGCTCTTTTGCTCATCATCGTCAGTGAACATGGGGCTCCAGAAAAACCTGAATACAAAGAAAAATCTAGGGATAAGATCACAAAGTATCTCCTGTGAATGAGTCTAATGAGAATAAACAATAATATCAACAATAAAACCCTAAAGTGAATACTTACTATATACCAGGAACTGTGTTAAAACTATTCCTACACCTTATACAGAGGCACAGCAAATATGAAGGGAGTGTCTGACTCTGGAGTCAGACTTCCTGGGTTGGAATCTCAACTCCTTCACTTACTTGCTGTTACCTCATACGGTTTTTGTGGAGGATGGAATGAGTTAATGCATGAACAGGGACTGGCATGAAGTAAACACGTAATAAATGTTAGATGGTATATAAACATGTGTTAGCTATGACTATCATCATCACCATCTTTCTGAATTCTCATGAGTTGAGACTCAGGAGTTAGGTATTACTATGCATTAGTTATTATTATTCAGTTCAGTTCAGTTCAGTCGCTCAGTCGCTCTGACTCTTTGCGAACCCATGGACTGCAGCACGCCAGTCCATCACCAACTTCCTGAGTTTACTCAAACTCATGCCCATTGAATCAGTGATACCATCCAACCATCTCATCCTCTGTCATTCCCTTCTCCTCCCGCCTTCAATCTTAGCCTCATTTTATACATAAGGAAGCTGTGGCTCAGATAAGTTGAGTAACTTAGCAGCATTATCAGACTGCAAAAATGGCTAATACTTGATGCTGCTCCCATGCACAGCTGGAATCTATTTTCTCCTCTCCTTAAATAGCAGCTGGCCCTATGACTTGCTTTGACCAACCCAGTGCAGCAGAGCCTGCACTTTATAAACAAGCCTAGCTGGTTACAACACTGTATACAAGCCTGTTTTAACTTTGATGAGATCCAATTTATCAGTTTTTCATTTTATGGACTGTACATGTGTGCTAAGTCCCTACAGTCATGACCTACTGTTTTCTACAAGCCTGTTTCAAACACTGTATACAAGCCTAGCTCTGTATAAACTCTGAGCTTAGGTCACAGAGACCGTGTCACTCCCAAGCTTGCTGTTCTTGGGAAGCACCATGTGAAGAAGCCATGGATGGCCTGCTGTAGGATGGGAGACCATGTGGAACAGAGACGATCTGTCACTCCAGCAGACTATCCCCTGGCCTTCAACAATCAACCCTGACCTGAGCCAAAGTTGAGAGCTGACAAGGACATGGAACCACTGTGTAGCTGAGCCTGGTCCAAAATGCCAGCTCATGGAATTGTGACCTAAATCCATAGCTGCGGTCACTAAGTAAGCAGCAGAGGTAGTTTTCAAACACAGGGAGCCCAGTTTCAGACCCTTAGCTTTTAAACTTTACACCCTTCTTTGCATGAATGCTTCTTTGCATGAAAGTTTCCCTTGTGGCTCAGACGGTAAAGAATTTGCCTGCAATGTGGAAGACACAGGTTCTATTCCTGGGTCAGGAAGATCCCTTGGAGAAAGAAATGGCAAACCACTCCAGTGCTCTTGCCTAGAGAATTCCATGGACAGAGGAGCCTGGCAGGCTACAGTCCATGGGGTTGCAAAGAGTTAGACATGACTGAGCAACTACACTTGCATGAATGGGAAACAGATTTTTCCAATGGTGATAAGCTTGACTAGCTGGTAAACAAGTCCTCTACCAGAAAGGTTTTGAGATTTGTTGATAGCATTTAGATGTTATCAAGGAGACTAGTAATTCAAAATATCATAAACAGCCTTTATAACTGGACCTCTATAAACAAAAAAAAAAAGAATTTTGACCTAACTATCATACCTTATACAAATATTATTCAAAATGGATCATGGGACTTCAATGTAACCACAAAACTTTTAAGAAAAAACACAGAAGAAAATCTTTAAGATCTAAGGCTATAAAAGAGTTCTCAGATCTGACCTCACATGTACAATCCATGGGCTTCCTAGGTGGCACGGGTAGTAAAGAAACTACCAACTCAGGAGATGCCAGTGACTCAGATTTGATCCCTGGGTCAGGAAGATCCCCTGGAGAAGGGTATGGCAACCCACTCCAGTATTCTTGCGTGGAGAATCCCACGGACAGAGGAACCTGTGGGCTACCCATGGGGTAGAAAACAGTAGGTCACGACTATAGGGACTTAGTACACATGTACAATGAAAAACTGATAAATCAGATCTCATCAAAGTTAAAAAAACAAAAACCACTTCCCCCTATGAAAGACCCTGTTAAGGGACTGAAATGGCAAGCTACAAACTGGGAGAAAATATTTTCAAAGCACAAATATGACTAAGGACTAGTATCTGCTGCTGCCAAGTCGCGTCAGTCATGTCCGACTCTGTGCGACCCCATAGACAGCAGCGCACCAGGCTCTGCCATCCATGGGATTCTCCAGGCAAGAACACTGGAGTGGGTTGCCATTTCCTTCTCCAATGCATGAAAGTGAAAAGTGAAAGTGAAGTCACTCAGTCGCGTCTGACTCTTAGCAACTCCATGGACTGCAGCCTACCAGGCTCCTCCGTCCATGGGATTTTCCAGGTAAGAATACTGGAGTGGGATGCCACTGCCTTCTCCGAGGACTAGTATCTAGCAGACATTAAAAAACTCAAAGTTCAACAGTAGAAAAACAAACAATCCAATTTAAAATGACATTTCACTGATGAGGATATTCAGATGGCAAAATAAGCACATGAAAAGATGTTCAATCTCATCAGCCAACAGGGAAAAGGAAAACCACAGTGAGATATCATTATACACCTATCAAAATGGATAACATAAAAAAGACTGGCAACATCAGATGCTATTGAGGATGAAGAAAAAGTAGATTACTCATACACTGCTGGTGTGAATGTAAAATGGTACAGCCACTGCAAAAACTGTTTAGAAATTTCTTATGAAACTAACTACCACATTGTATTGAGCAGCTCCAGCTGCAAGCAACAAATTCTGGTAAATTCTCTTTTTATTTTCATTCTGTTATGAATATTTTCTAATTTTCCTTCTTATGGCTTAGACACACCCATCATTTAAAAGTGGACATTTAATTTCCAAATACATGGGGTTTTTAATACCAATTTCTCATTTTGATACTAATTTCTCGTTTAAATGTTTTCTTCTCTGCAATCATCCTGTTTTTTCAGTCTTCTAACTTTATTGAGGCTTTCAACGGCTTTCAGTGTGATCTCTTCTGTCACACTGCACTTGAAAATATGTGAGTTATTTTCAAATATCTTTTGCTATTGATTTCTAACAGAATTCCACAGACTCTGTATGATTTAAATACCTTTAGATTATGAACATTTTGCACCTTGTGTTATGTCCCTGGATATCTTTCATTGTCTCCTAGTCATAGTCCGTGGGAACTTGAACAGGATTTGTATCGTACTATTCTGTGAAAATTGTGTAAATCTTAATTATATTGAATTCATTCATGGTGCTTTTCAGGAGTACCATATCCTTCTACTTTCCCATATATTCATTCTATTAATTTTTAAGAGTGATATTGAAACTCCAACTAAAAATTTATCTACTTAAATTGTAAAATATAATGGAACTACAAGTAACCTTGTTCTATATTTTCCAAGTCTCCTGTAAATGTGTTAATCATACTTTCATAATTTAAAAAATAAAAAAGAGAGAGGAAAAAACTGACTACCACATGTAACCAACATACAACCCGGAAACTGAACTTTTGGACATTTATCCCAAATAACCACAACTATAGTCACACAAAATCCTGTACACAAATGTTCACAGCAGTCTTATTCACCACAGACAAAGTAACCAGATGTCCTTCAATGATGAATGATTACACTAACTGTGGTACCCCCATACCACTAAATACTATTCAGTCATAAAAATGAACAAAGTGATACACACAACAAGAATCTCCAGAGATTCATGCTGAGTAAAAAAAAGTCACCCCCAAAGGTCAGATACTGTATGATTTCATTTACATAACATTTAAAAATTATAAAAATGGAGAACAGATTAGAGGCTGCCAAGGGTTAGGGACAGGAAGGAGGATGGCTAGATAAGAAAAATGGAAGGATTCGGTAGCGACGGAAATCTGCTTCTGTCCACATTGATACCCTGGTTGAGATACTGGGATAACTAGGTATAAGTGCTCCCTCTGTATTCGTTCTTAAAGTTGCAAGTGAATCTATAATTATCTCAAAATTAAACACTTCATTACAAAAAGGGAATGAACAAAAATGGCCTGCAAAAAATCTGGGGGGATTAAATAGAAGTAATATTTTATCTTTAAAAATCTTTTTAAATTTTGAGGGTTTTGTTTTTAATATACCAGAAGCTGTAAAATTAATGTACACAACTTGATGAGTTTGTAGGTAAGTATACATTTATGAAACCATCACCATAATCTATGCCATAGCCTGTCTATCCCCTCCAAAGACTTTACTTTATTAATAAATACAAACACAGCATTTCATTAGTATGCTGCTTCCCTGCTTATTGCTTTTGTCCATTTCTGCCAAATAACATTTTTTTCCTCTTTAAAACTTTGTTTTGGACCGAAACTCTCACATACTTAGGTTTCCTAAGATACCTACGAGATCTGTTGAGTATTGTGGACTGGACCCAGGGCAGGAGACGCTGGGTGAAGGACTGGAACCCAGAGTGGCAGACTTGACTCAACATGCTGTGAGGTGGTCACTGACCAAGGTATCTGTAGAATGCATTAAAAAAAAATAAACAATCAAAATACTAGATAGTTCATTTTACTTTCATCTACCTCCCCACACCGAGAGTAAAAACTTGACTCTCTTGATCCAAACTCTTCTGGGTTAGAGGAACTCCTACCTCTTCTACATACAGAAAAGAGAGAAAAACAAACGGCTCCTTCCCCAAGCTCTGACTCTTTTCTTCCTTGCTTAGGACCATCTTAAGTTTTTTTTCCTGTTTGTTTTTAATAAATTAGTTTCTATTTTTTGGCTGCACTAGGTCTTCACTGCTATGCATGGGCTTTCTTTAGTTGTGGCAAATGGGGGTTACTCTTCATCGCAGTGCACGGACTGCTCATTGTGGTGGCCTCTCTTGTTAGGGAGAGTGGTTTCTAGGCACGCAGGCTGCATTAGTTGTGGCATGCAGGCTCAGGAGTTGTGGTGCACAGACTTAGTTGCTTCGAGGCATGAGGGATCTTCCTGGACCAGGGATCAAACCCATGTCCCCTGCATTGGCAGGTGGATTCTTAACCACTAGACCACTAGGGAAGTCCCAGGACCATCTTAGTTTTTATGGAAAAAAATGGGAACTAAGTATTATGAATAGTTTGAGTGACAAAAAACATCTTCAAGGTATAGTGTTTATCTACTGATATTAAATCTTCACTACAATTTCTATACCATTAGGGAGTCTTCAACCAATCAAAACAGATTCGACATTCCATAGCAGCCACCTCCAGCTTCTCGCTCTCATCTCCCAAAAGAACTCTGAAAACCACATATTTGAAATGTCAGCTTGATCCCTGCTGACACAAGGAGAGGAGGAAAGGTCGGAGGCTGCGGCTTTGTCTTTCTTCTTGCTGTCCAGAGGAATCCAAAGCATACTCTTCAATCCCTGGGAGGGAGTGGCAATACCTGTAAACGGCTGGCATCTGAAACGACCCTGGGCACACCTCATGGAGGATGAACACACAGCTAGTTTTCAGAGCTAGGTTGTGGGCATTTTCCCACTGCAGGTCAAACTTAAGATTTTAGACAAAGAACAGTTTATTTCATTCCTGCAGCTCTTACACTACAGGGACATGGTTGTTTTCACGAGATAAGAAAAATCCTTTATCTTGCTTATGGGCCTCCTTTTAACTTCTGCTGTATGCGTTAACAGATATATTCCAACTCTCTTACACATGACTCACGGTGTTTAAACATGCCTAAAAAGACTAGCATTTTGCCCTAAAGTGAAGAGAAACAAGGAATGGTTACTGCTCTTCAATTTATACCACACAAAGGTACAGAAAGAAGAGAGAAGAGACTGGCAGGATACATCTGTCATACAAAATATGGCATCTATATAAGCAAGAGAAAGTGTTAAGTGCTGTTTTTGTTGACTTCAGTGTTTGTGACAGTAAGGAAGGTTCCAAGAGAAAATTATTTGCATAATACTGAAGCATGCTATGAGGCCATGATCCAATTATTTATACATGAACTCACCAAAATAATTCTAGAAGAGCCAAAAGGGTAAAACAATCAAATAATGACCCTAAAATTCTAATTCCATCTCCTTCACAAACTTCCCCCAGCAACTCTAGCATTCAAAGTTGGATATAATCCTACAGGTTAGTTTCCGACTGGTTCGTACTATTGCTGACTTTCCCAGAAGGATTATAAACTTCCTACCAAAGGCATGGTAAACATGGGAAACAATCAAGCTTTGTGTTTGCTAGCTGTATGCCTTCCAATCTTTTAAAGTCTCAGGTCTCCTCATCTGTAAACCGTGGACAATAACAATAAGGACCTTGTGGAATTATTGTGAGAGAATGTAGTAACTGCATTCCAAGAATGGAATGCCTGGATACAAGAGATGCTCAATAAACATCTACTCTCCTCCATCTCTTTCAGGCACTAATGTCATTATATCTTACAACCACTTTCTTCCTTATTTCTTTCAGGACCTGTCACTGGAACAAAGAATTTCATAGCCTCTGATGAGCAGACATAGTCACAAATTATATTTATTGACTATTTATCTCTCTCTTATCTATGAAAAACCGAAAGCTCTGAATGTTTAAGGTCAGTCAGTTATCATGTTGAAGACTGATGTAGAAACCAGGCCTCCTGGCCTCTCCCATCACCTCCGACTGACACTGCCCTCACTGCAAAGGATAGTTCATCCTGCCAGAATTTATTATGCCCTCGTAAGATAGATAGCTAATCCCAGGGAGCAAAGGGTATGTGTGTCAGTCTAGACCCCGTGTGATCAAATGAAAAGCTCCCATGTTTTGACTCAGGACATTGCTCAAGTACTTCTTTACAGGTTCTGAACAGATAGTCCTTATCTTATTTACCTGAATAGAGAACTGAACTTTAGTCTCAACAAAAGTCGCCCAGGAACACAGGCTTGCTACATGGTTCACCAGTTAAAGACAAAGCCCTAATGATAAACCTCACCCCCTCTAGAGAGGGGAACGGAGATGGGGGAGGAGGATGGATCTGGGTCCGCCCAGCCCTGATGAGCCACGGAAAGAATTATCCACAGACCTTATGCCACACTGCAAAAGGCGGTTGTGAGCGAGCTCTCCCGCTGCGGGGTCGGGGCGGGGGGTGGGGTGGGGGGGGTTGGTTTTCAAGAGGGGATCACGAAGGCCCAGGCAGGCCGCGCGGGAACTGCACCCAGGGCCCTGAGAGTAGATGTGTGAACAGTTACAAACGGTGAAACCCCACCACTCATGCAAGTGCACTAGAAGCTGGTTCCGCGATCCCGGGCCGAGAAGGGATCAGGCGCTGGGTCTTCAAGCCTCCATATGGATCAGTTTCTGCATCTGGGTGTATCAGAGGAGGTCGGGGAGTTCGAGTGCCCACAGCCCCCGCGGCCCTCGGGCCTCCGCGCGCCGGCGTGTGGCGATGCAGCGCGGTTTGGGAGGCCCAGCCCGCCGCCATCCCTCCGCGCACCCACACCCACTTACGGGTCCGACCCCCCTCACTCTGCTCCCGCTCAGGCCGCGCGCCCCCGCAGTCCCCACGGTCGCCCGTGACCCGGCGCGCACATCTTTCCTTGCCTCAGCCCGGGTGCCTCCTCAGCCCCTACTCAGGCGCCGGCGCCTCGCCATCCCCGCCACCGTCCCCGCCATCCTTGTGGCCCGCTCGTACCTGCCTCGCCTCAGCCGCCGGGCCCCACCACCCGGCCCGCACTCCACGCCACGCGTCTCTCGCACCGGCTACTCCTCTTTTTCTTCCGTCCACGTCCCACAAGATGACGTTACGTCAGCAGCGCTGGAGTCAACCCAGGCCGCAAAGCCTCCGCTGTTGACGCGAGGCGGCTGGCTGACCCCGAGCTGCGCTGCGGCAATGGCGTAGGTGCGTTTGGAGAATCGGGCCTGCGCTACACGTGGCGAGCCCCGCCCTCCGAGACCCAGCAGACGCCAGGGGGCGGGGCCCGAGTGCAGTCTGTGAATGTCCACGTCCTAGCGGCAGACTCGGACAGGGTCCACGGAGAGTCGTCCCTCGGACCTTCCCCGGGAGGCAGAAAGGACGCCTGGATTCCTCAGCTGCTGGTAGATCCCACACGGTGTGTTTGCCAGTATTGATCGTTGTATCCCAGCCACACCTCGGAAATAGATCGGATCAATTTGCACGTATTTGAGGATCCCGCACTCCAGGCAAACTAAAGCTGATTAAATTTTGACACAGATTAAATGATTTGCCCCCTAGTCGCCTGGAGCTTTCCCCAAGGGTCTCAGCCCAACTGTCGTTTAGCAATGGCATTGGAGGCTACTGTAAATACCAAAGAAGTAGTATTTAATCCCTGACAATTCACCCTTAAAATTAGAGTTCGGACTCTCTCCTTTTCTACTTGCAGTGTTTTCCTCAAAGAACATGTTTCTGCATAGATAGGCCTAGACGTAGCGCTGGGCACGTAGCGGGTTGGGGTGGGCAGAACACTTTGGTGGAGGTTTGTTAGGAAGGCATCTTGCCGGTTGTGGGGTAGTTCCTGAGAACAATGCTGAGCCTATTCCTCATTCATTAAACGTTGGCTACTTTGTGGCAGGCGTTCCCTAGGTTCGGAGGAAAACGGTCACTTTATGGGAGAGACGGACATGTGAGCAAATGGTTACACTATTTGATTAACGTTAGAGGAGGGGTATCTGGGGATTCAGGCAAGTCTTTGAAAAGAGTAGATATTCGAATTGGGCTTTGAAGAAGTAGTTCACGGAGAAGCAGGGAGCAGGATCGCAGGAGGAAGAGGGAATGGAATATCCAGAGGCAGGAGACGCCCTGTGAGGAGAGGCTTACATGTGGGACGTGACTGGAAAGGTGTTTGGGGGAGGGGGAGGGGGGCTTTTAAAATTTCTGTGACACGCTTAAGGATTTGAACCTTATCATCCCCAAAGTTAGAGAACCCTGACTTTCAAAGTACTGGAGTGACATGATCAGCTCTGTGTGTCTGAAATCAGTAGAGAGGAAGGTTTAAGCTGGGAGCTCACTTAGCCTATTGCAAAGGCCCAAATAAGAAATGATGGCTGGGGAAAAGGCTCCAGAAGGGGACAGGGAACATAAAGGAGGGAGAGCTGACTTTGTTCACTACTTGGAAGAGGGAGAATGAGAGACAAGGAGGTGGTTGTTGCTGTTCAGTCGCTGAGTTGTGTCTGATTCTTTGTGACCCCATGGACTGCAGCAAGCCAGGCTTCCTTGTCCTTCACCCTCTCCCTGAGTTTGCTCAATCTCATGTCCATTGAGTCGGTGATGCCGTCCAACCATCTCGTTCTCTGTCGTCTTATTCTCTTCCTGCCTTCAGTCTTTCCCAGCATGGGGGTCTTTTCCAATGAGCTGGCTCTTTGTATCAGGTGTCCAAAGTATCAGCTTCAGCTTCAGTGCTTCCAATGAATATTCAGGGTTTATTTCCTTTAGGATTGACTGGTTTGATCTCCTTGCTGTCGGAGGGACTCTCAAGAGTCTTCTCCAACACCACAGTTCGAAAGGATCAATTCTTCAGCGCTTCTTCATGGTCCAACTCTCACATCCGTACATGACTACTGGAAAAACCATAGCTTTAAGTATACGGACCTTTGTTGGCAAAGTGATGTCTCTGTCTAGGTTTGTCATAGCTTTTCTTCCAAGGAGCAAGCGTCTTTTAATTTCATGGCTGCAGTCACCATCTGCAGTGATTTTGGACCCCAAGAAAATAAAGGCTGTCATTGTTTCCACTTTTCCTCCCGTTTATTTGCCATGAAGTAATGGGACTATATGCCATGATCTTTTTGAATGTTGAGTTTCAGGCCAGTTTTTTCACTCTCCTCTTTCACCTTCATCAAGAGGCTGTTTAGTTCCTCTTCCCTTTCTGCCATAAGGGTGATAGCATCTCCCTATCTGATGTTATTGATTGCAAATCTGGTGGTGCTACAGCAGTTAGGAAATAGATGAGGGGAGTAGTTCTTTTGGGTGAAGGGTGAGAACACCGAACATGTGTTAAGTTTTGAGCATTTTGGATTTAAAGTAGAAGACACAAAAGAAACAAAACTGCCCTCCAGAAGTTTCAGTGGGTACTTCAGCTTTTAAGATTCTATGAACTTAGAACAAAATAGGTATCTGCAGGTATAGCTAAAGCCACTAGGGATAGAGGCTTTCTCCACTCAGGAAGTTCTGTTCTTAATGTGCCATGGTGGTTCAGACAGTAAAGAATCTGCTTGCAATGCAGGAGACCGGGGCTAGATTGCTGTGTCGGGAAGGTCCCCTGAAGAAGGAGATGCCTACCCACTCCAGTAATCTGGCCTGGAGAATTCCATTGACAGAGGAGCCTGGTGGGCTAAAGTCCATGGGGTCGCAAAGAGTCAGACACAACTGAATGACTAACACTTCCACTTCAAACCACACATCACCTTAAACAGTAATTGCCTGTCTGCTTTTCCTGCTAGAATATAAACTCCTAAGAGCAGGAAAATATATTCCTGGCTCAAAATAGCCAATAAATATTTGATAAATGAATGAATTTAATTTCTTTGGGCTTAGTAATACTATCCCTGTCTATCTTCTATACTTGCCTATATTCTATATAGTATATTCTACATATACTAGCCTATAGCATTGCTAAGATCGAATATGAAAATTCTTTAACATTGTCCAAACAGTTTGTTTGTTTTCATTACTATTTTACTTTTAATATTCTACTTCACCAATAAAGATGAGTGGGATACGTGACTGTGGATTGGGAAAAATCAAATACCAGAATTATAATCATTTGCCTTTCTAAAAAAATAAAGAAAATAAAAATAGTGAATATAAGTAAAAAAAAAAAGAAGAAATCAAGGAAAATATTTTAGCCATGGTATCTTCTGCATGTGACTTAAATAGAAAAAAGATTCCGTTTTGATTGGAGGGATTTTTGTCTCAGCAAATGGAAATAGGGCTAGATATGACCAAAAAGTTACATAGGAAGTGGCTTATTTAGAACCCAAGTATAAGACAGGGTTGAGGACTGCTTCTTCACATGCTAGAGAGTACTAGGTTAAAACTATCTTAGCCTCATGCGCTTTACTTGTAACAGAAACGTATTCAAACAAAACAATTTACTGGAGAGAGTAACTTATAGTTTCCAAGAGCAGGAGGTAAAATTGGATCTCTTAAGAGGTGGATACAAGGAACTAGAAGCTAGGAACCAAGACTCTCCCCCATCTCTGGGTTTCCTATTTACACTTATATCCGTATATCTGCTTTTTTCTCTGTTTAAGATACACTCTTCATTAGTGAACATTGGTAAAAAATGGCTTCCTCAGCCCTAAAATATCTTCAGTGCCTATTCCCCACTGACTTTTAGACTTGGTCCTAGTTTCATATTCCTAGAGAGAATATCTTACTGGCCTAATTTGCCCCAGGTCTCCATTTTTGGTCTAGTCAGCTGTGGTGGGAGAGGAGGCTTCATGCAGATAACTCAAAGGCAGCAGAGCTCTATGTGATGGGGGATCTAGCACGTTATAGACATGTTATACGAGCTGGCAATGTTAGGACAAACACTTAAACCAGTTTCAGCCAGACTATGGAATATCCTCTGTAGTTTCACAAACCAGGTTGAACATCAGAAGCACCAGGAAGGCTTTTGAAAATATACAGATTCTTCAAGCCGGTGAATTAGAATCTCTAGATGCAGGGCCTAGGAATCAACATTTTTAAAGAACCCCAGATTACGATGTGACTACTTTTGGGAACTCCTGCTTTAAAAGACAAGCTTAAATGTCAAGCAAACAAATACATCAACAGAAATGGGAAGTTATTCATAAATAAGAAACATTCCTATATATGATAAACAGGGAAGGTTTTTTTTTTTCTGGAGAGCAAATTACTTCCTTTAAAATACAGTTTTATTTTCTGATCATAAAAATCAGAAATGTTTATTAAGAAAAAGATTCTCATTTTAGACATGCTAGTCTTTCAGACTTTTGTCCAAGTACGTATGTATAAATATTTTTGTTTTACAAAATTAGCACCGTAAAGTATATGTACTATTTCGTAGCCTATTTTATTCACTAAAAAATAGATCATGAGTATTTTCATATGGCAATAAGGACTGGTCTATTCAATTTTCAGTGGTTGTACAACATTTCAATCTATGGTTGCATAATTGATTTAACTAATCCCCTATTGTTGGGACATCCCCCACCCCATAATGTTTAATAAGTGGAATTATTGGGTTAAAGTTTATGAACATTTTTAAGGCTTTTGATACATATTAGTTATTTGGCCCTCTCCAACTGTCTCCCAGTTTATATTCTCTCTAAAAGTATTTGAGAGTACCTGTTTTTCTACACCTGCAATGGACTACCTGGGATTTTAGTTTCATTCTATCCAGATTGCACATACCCCTTTACAGTAAAACTTGGTCCTTAAATTGAATACATGACTACAATAGAGGCCTTGTGCAGTGAGAGATGTCGTATATAAATAAAGGGAGGCAAGAAGACTGCATTATTCTTTAGATGAGAATAATGTTAAAGTTTCTCATAGGTCTGTTATAAATAAGAGGAGTGACTAAAGATAAGATCACCATAAAATCTTATCTATATTAAGCAGCTTTCTAATTGGAAACTTGGCTTATAAGCTAAACTTGGCTTATAAATCAAATTAGAGAGGTAGAGAGGAAAAGAATACTTGGAGGCATTCCTGCCTTAGAAGAGCAGATGCGCTCATTTCTGGTATAACATCTTCAACTACAAATTGGCACTTACCAAGAGCATTGCCAATGACTGAACAACAAAGGCATTTGCCATCTACCTCTGCGGAGATTGAACCCTATGCTGCTATAGCTGTTGATCTTCAACAACCCCTGAGGGAGTTCAGGGTGGAGTGAGGCACTCTGTGCTCCAGGGAATCTGATGACAGGTCTTTAGATAGTTGGATATTTTTTTCAGTTTCAGTTCAGTCCTCAGTCTTTGAGACCTTATGAGCTGCAGCACACCAGGCCTCCCTGTCCATCACCAACTCCCGGAGTTCACCCAAACCCATGTCCATTGAGTTGGCGATGCCATCCAAACATCACATCCTCTGTCGTTTTTAGGAACAGACTGTTTAGGTACGGATGTTTTTAGGAACAGATTTTATGATCTCAACCCTTGCATCTCCTCATATCTAGAGAAGTACTAAATCCCTTCATGGTGATATCAGATCCTCATGACTAACAAAAAAGCCTTTTGTAAAATGAGTGCTTTATGGTATTGAACTCCCCCTTCACCAAAACCTTATATATTTCTTTCTCCCACTGCCGCTTTGGAGCAGACTCTCAGAGCTATCTGAGATGCTGCCTCTCGGGCAGGAGTCCTCATTTTGCCCCAAATAAAAGTTAACTCACAACTCTCAAGTTGTACATCTTTTTTTAGTCGACAGATCTCATATACTGTAGTTTAAAAAGGTATGGTAGATCACAATGAGACCATTTTACACTCATTAGGATGGCTAAAATAAAAACAATAGCGAAAGGATGTGGAGAAGTTGGAACCCTCATATACTGCTGGTGGCACAGCCACTCTAAGTAGTGTGGCAGTTTCTCAGTAAATTAAACATAAAGTTGCCATATGGCCTAGCGATTCCACTCCTTCAGATAGGTCCTCTGTTTTCCTAAATGCTGTCCTCTGGTCATGAGCAGGTGAGGATCTGTTTAGCCAAAATAAGCAGGCTGCCTCAGAACTTCCCATGGGGAAAAGTGAAATCTGATTCTTCTCCTTTCTTCACTTAGTCTCTAGGTTGAGAACTCCAAGCAGTAAGAGACACAGGATAAGAATGGGAAAGATGGAGCCTTTTTGAGAGTCTGCTCCTCTGCTAAATGCCATTTTGAAGGGAAAAAAGAAGTCGAATGGATATTTCCAGTCAATTCTGGGTTGGCCTCTTGGAGGCTCTGGCTTCTGGGTAATGTCCACAAAAGTCACCACAGTTGTCAAAGGTACTTCTGTTTCGGGCGGGGAATCCTGCAGGAAGAATGTCCATGACAGGTCAGTGCTTGGCACCCATTCAAATAGCCCTCCAATTTTAATGTTATTATTACTTCCCTGAATAAAGACCCATAACAAACTGCTATGTAGTTCTCTTTCGGAGACACAGGAAATTAATTACTTAGCAACAGTTGCACCAGAATTGTGACCACTTAACCTACCAAAAGACTAACTCCGAAGCTGGCCTGATAACAGAGAAGCCACTGCTTCTGTTACATGTTTGGCAACTCTACCTTATCATGTCCCATATGGCTCCAGGCTCTGAAACAGTATACATGTACTAGTGTATGTAGTAGTAGCAATTTTCTTCCTTCTTTAGTTGTAAAAAGAAACATTAAACTTCATGGAAAAGGCAAAGAACTTGAGCAATGTAGATTTAAAAAAAAATCTGATTCACAGAATCTCAGGGTTAGAAAGGATCCTCCTAACCACCCACCAATCTAAGTCAAATGAAAACGATGCTCCCAGGAAAAGGGACCTTGTCAAGCTGACTCAAGTATCTAATCTAGTAGATGTAGCTTTGGGTAGATATGGTTGCAGCCTGAAGATTGGAATCATGTTTATCTAAACTGAATTAATTCCCTTTGTTCCAACTCTGTTCACTAGGCAAACTTTTGATTATTATTTGACAGTAAGTAACTATCTTGTTTCTGTCTTCCTTCACTCTGATGCCACATATTATCTCAGCTTTGGCCTTTGGCAACAGTAAATGTCAGGTTCTAGGAACATAATTTTGCTTGATATAACCCTTCTATAGATATTTTAAAAATGCATGTGGGGCCAGTGCTGTGATAATTTTGCATGTCATACTAACTCTTTGGGCTTTTTTTTTTTTTAAACAGTGAAGTTCATGCAGGGCTTGGTATACAATTAATGTAACTTCTGTGGCTCTGAAAGACCCACATGCATTCCAAGTACAGCCAGCTTAGGCTAAAGATGTCAAGGGCTTCCTGATTCCAGCCAGGCACTGAAGACTGGCTGAGACTAACCAGATAAAAAAAACGGGGAGGAGTTTATTACTGAAGAATAAGCAATAAACTTTCTTTAGACTGTAACTTACCAAAGGATTTCCTGTTCAGACTTTAATTTTTCCCTAGGAACTTCATAATGGGGAGAGGAAGTATATTCAATTTTTGGAGCAAATCTTTTGCAGTTGACATTACTGAAATATGTTAATACTGTTGTTTAACCTCACTGCAGAATGACTGATGAGCTATATAAGCTGGGATGGCTAGAAATACTTTAGGATGGAAAATAGAAGAGAGAATGAATTTTCTGCCTTGTGTTCAGTGTTACCTAAGAATTGATTTAATTAATGTGTTGTTCTGACTCATTTCAGAGCCTTTGGGGGAGGGCAAGTTTTAAACTGCCCACAAGCAGGAGGAGTTGTGGTTAAAACTGGGGTACTGAACTCATAATGGAAGAGTGCAGTTGTACATTAGGAAGCTCCCTGCTGCACACTCAAGTCATATCCACCTGCCTAGTGTTTATTAGTGAAAAAGCTGGAATTCTGATCTCCATCTGACTCTTTTTAATTGGTTTCAAACTCAGGTAGGGAAAAGTGTCATCAGCTCCTGCAAACTCCCAAATCAGGGAATTTTTGGTCATTCTATGAACCTGAGGTCATTCTATACTGAGAACAGATCTCTAAGATAGCTATGAGCCCAAGAAAGCAACTTTTAGGTTCATGTCTGAAAGTGAAAGTGAAAGTTGCTCAGTCATGTCCGACTCTTGTGACCCCATGGACTGTCCATGGAATTCTTTAGGCCAGAATACTGAAGTGGGTAGCCTTTCCTTTTTCCAGGGGATCTTCCCAACCCAGGATCGAACCCAGGTCTCCCACATTGCAGGCGGATTCTCTACCAGCTAAGCCACAAGGGAAGCCCAAGAATACTGGAGTGGGTAGCCTATCCCTTCTTCAGTGGATCTTTCCAACACAGGACTCAAACTGGGGGCTCCTGGTTTGCAGGCGGATTCTTTACCAACTGAGCTATCAGGGGAGCCATCTACTTAAATATATATTTAAGTCTACAGTGGTGTTTCATGGCTGGGAAATCCTGCATATTTTTTGTAAAAGTTCTTTGAATTGGGTTGCTTTTTTCATACTCACTCAGGATATAGGCTCATCAAGAGCTATTAAACTTGATTTTAGGATGACAATGTAAAGGTATGTCTTCTTTCTATATATCTTAAAACCACTCTAATAAGAAACAGATACAAAACTCCATCTTCACTGAAATGGAGAGATAACATAATACATGAATACAGAAAATAGATGGAAGCAAGGTTTCACAGAGGGTTAGAAGGCCAAATCTAAAAGCCTTCAGAAACTAGAAGATGATCTCTGTAGAACCCTGACTCAGTAATAGGAGATAAGAGGGAGGTAGGGATGAGGCAGGGATTAGAACATGATTACTGAGTGATTCCTCCTCAATGAAATCAGACAACCACTCTTTCCCTGTTTCAACAAGAGACTGGAAAATTTAAACCAGAGAAATTCTAGATTTCAGGATATATAGAAAGGACAGAGTGAAGGATGAAACAAAAAATAGGGAAATTACTCTGTATAATGAAATACCTTGCCCCAGTCTGGCTTCAAAATGCTGAGAGATGCTCTTATCCACATACCCTTTAGTTAGGAGCCAGCAGGGTTGTTTTATTTTTTTTCTTGAGAAAAGTAATAGTCCCAACAAAAAGACAAAAAGATACTGACATCTGGCAGTCCTATAATCTTGTAAAGGCCTAATTGGTACAAAAACATAAACAGCAGAGTACCATGTAAATATACTATTTACTTAATGGGTTTGTTGTGTGAATTCAATACTTATTTAAAAAATACTTATAAGAAATATTACCAGTGCCTGTCATATAGTAAATGTTCAATAAATGTTTTTCTATTATTATTATCATACAAGAAGATGTAAGTCTACACAATGTTTTGCTTAAATTCTTTATTTTGTAGTTTGCTCTTGGGAACATTCCAAAAATTTTGCTATTTTACTTTTTGTAGTGAGAGGAATTTAAAGTGTTTCCAAAGCTACATTTATACAATGAAAAGTCATTTTGACAGTTCAGTTCAAACTTCAGACAGCCTTCACTTCAAGGTGTAGAAACATAAATACCTACCAGCCTAAGCAGATAACCTAAATGAGAGAAGTGGGGCAGGTAAGGGTGGGTAGCTGCAGGCTGTGTGAAGGAAGTATTTTATTAGTGGCAATCACCATCCAGTATGGCTTCCCTGATAGCTCAGTTGATAAAGAATCCACCTGCAATGCAGGAGCCCCTGGTTCGATTCCTGGGTTGGGAAGATCCACTGGAGAAGGGATAGGTTACCCACTCCAGTATTCTTGGGCTTCCCTTGTGGCTCAACTGGTAAAGAATCCGCCTGCAATGTGGGAGACCTGGGTTCGATCCCTGGGTTGGGAAAATCTCCAGAAGAAGGGAAAGGCCACCCAGGTCAGTATTCTGACCTGGTGAATTCCATGTGTATAGTCCATGGTGTCGCAAAGAGTCAGGCACAACTGAATGACCTTCACTTTCACCATTCAGTGGCAGATTTTATGCCATGAAGGAGCGTAGGATCTCTTATCACCAGATTTTTCAAGACAAGTCAGAGATCTGGATGTCAAGGTAAAATTTCTTGATTTTTAAATGCTGACACAAATTAAAAAAAAAACAAAATCTTTGCAAATCAAACAAATCAGTCTACAGACTAAACAGGCCACAGGCTGCTACTCTGCTACTCAGCTTTAGTTTTATGCCATCATTCAGACACACTAAGCTGACTGACACAGCCTGGGTGAGACCACTGTCAACTACAAACTTTCAAAGGATGGCCCGTGGGGTCATCTTCTGCGGAAGAACTGCAGAAGATATACCTTCAGCAAAATATCTCCTTAATTAGCTCCTCCTTTTATTACTTTAGACACTTTGGAACATGTATACTAGTTTTCTTTGAATAGGCTCTTGCTATGATGAGAAAAAATTGCACAGGAAGTCCTGAGAGACAAGCCTTGTGGATAAAGGGAAGTGATTTAAAATTAAGGACAAATAATCAGTATAAACACATAAAGAAAAAATGAGTGCCTATGTGACTTCAGGAGAATATTTCCATTCAACACTGCAGTAAAAAAAATTTCAATACAGATGATAAAACTGTCTATTATAGAAAGAATTATTTGCATTTGCTTAACTTTTTGTGATATGACACTATTGATTCATAACTCCTTCTACAAGGGCATAGTATCTTTCATGGAAGCGAGCTTCTCAAGTGAACATTTTTGTATAGTCAAAATTACCTTTGCAAATCATTTAAATCACACTAAGTAAAGACACATGATTTGGTATATCCCAAACCACCCCTCAGTATTAATAAATTCAACAGAGTTAATTTTTGCTCCACCACTGGAATAGAAACTGTGTCTTCAGTTATACACGAATGAAGCACAGCTGGAATTCTCAGCTGTCAACCACTTAGGACAGTTAGATGTGAATGACTGTAAGTGTGATTTTGTAGAGGGGACAGACTAACCTGAAAAGCTAACCTCTACTAAATACTAGAAAAATACAATGATTAAAAATACCTGGAAAAGACAGAGGCACTGGGTAGCTTCAATGCCCAAGAGAACCAGAGATTCAGGAAAATAAAAAGAACAATCCTGTAGGTATCTTCCCAAACTACACAGGTATTCATGAATAAAGATACAGTTCATAAATATAAAACAATAGATTCAGTGCCATATCTGTAACAGGTTAAATGAATCTTACAGAAAGAGTTCTGTTTTATTCAGTAAGTCAACACAGAAAGAACAGAACGTTCACATTAATACAGTTTCTGGTAACGAGTTTGGACACATTTATAGGCATAAAGAGCTAAGGTGCTCAACTTGTGTGAGGGAAGAGGTATTTTACTTCTGACTTAAATGTAGTCTCTAGTTTCTTTTTCTGGGAGGTAAAATCAATGACTTACAGGTAACAATTTCAATTAGTTTTAATTTCCATTAAAAAATAATAATCTGGCATGCCAGTTCATACATGAAGTTCACCAGGACCTAATCATTTTATTTTTGAACTTCCCTTAGCTGTAGGCGGTTGCTAAAATTGTCCTAAGGCGCATGATAAATAGCAGGTATATGTTTACTACATATTAAAATTATTTATTTTAATGGAGTGCAATCAGCCAAGAATTGATGATTACAAACTAGCCACAGTAACTTTAACAGCAACCAACAGGCGTGGAGACTAACAAATGTGTGACTGTCATTGAATATACAGATATAGAATATCTTTTCTGTGGTTGAATCAAACAGTGTATAGTAATTATAATAAGATAATTTAAAACAAAGTAACCTATACTGTAGTCATGAAGTTTAAAAAAACACAGGGAAGAAATATAGATTGTATTTACCATGAAATGTATTAATTTCAGTAACCAGGCAGGGAGGATCTACTTGAAAGTTAATTGTTTCAGCTCATTCTGACCAAACATTAGAATTTTGGCTGGTAGCATAAACTGACTCTCAGGAAGTTAAAAAATTAACTGGTCATCAAATGACTGATATAATAATCAAGGCTTTTCAAGACTTACCTGTATGGACTGGAATTGGTATAGAAATCGGGCTCCTGACACATGAGCTTGTGGGTTGGATTGGAGGCCTATATATGCCCACAGAATCTGGATCTCCAGGGAAACTGGTATGACACAGCAGGAAGTACAGTGCATAGCCTGCAGGAGAGTAAAGAGGCATTTGATGTAATTGCTGATGGTTGCCTATAGTTATTAATATTTACCATGCATTAAGTAGCTGTTGTTTCTTAAACATTACATAATAACAGAGAAGACAATGTGGCTTAGGGAAAGGACACAAAAGTTCATAAGAGGTCGTATTATTGTTCAGTTCAGTTGCTCAGTCATGTCCGACTCTTTGCGACCCCATGGACTGCAGCACGCCAGGCTTCCCTGTCCATCACCATATCTTGGAGCTTGCTCAAATTCATCAAGTCGGTGATACCATCCAACCATCTCATCCTCTTGTCGTTCCCTTCTCCTCCCACCTTCAGTCTTTTCCAGCATCAGGGTCTTTTCCAATGAGTCAGTTCTTCGTATCAAGTGGCCAAAGTATTGGAGTTTCAGCTTCAGCATCAGTCCTTCCAATGAATATTCAGGACTGATTTCCTTTAGGATGGACTGGTTAGATCTCCTTGCAGTCCAAAGGACTCTCAAGAGTCTTCTCCAACACCACAGTTCAAAAGCATCAATTCTTCAGCACTCAGCTTTCTTTATGGTCCAGCTCTCATATCCATACATGACCACTGGAAAAACCATAGCTCTAACCAGACCTTTGTTGATAAAGTAATGTCTCTGCTTTTTAATATGCTGTCTAGGTTAGTCATAGCTTTTCTTCCAAGGAGCAAGTGTCTTAATTTCATGGCTGCAGTCACCATCTGCAGTGATTTTGGAGCCCCCAAAATAAAGTCTCTCACTGTTTCCATTGTTTTCCCATCTATTTACCATGAAGTGATGGGACTGGATGCCATGATCTTAGTTTTCTGAATGTTGAGCTTTAAGCCAGCTTTTTCACTCTCCTCTTTCACTTTCATCAAGAGCCTCTTTAGTTTCTCTTCGCTTTCTGCCAAAAGGGTGGTGTCATCTGCATATCTGAGGTTATTACTGTCCATAATCTTAAAAAAGATAATATTCTAAAATGGAAATACTAAAATATAAAATAAAATGGAAATACTAACATAGAAATAAATAAAACATAAATAAGCCCATGTACGATGGTTATAAGAAGTGCTCAGTGAGTGGTGGAGTCGCTATTGTGGAATGCCAGAGCAGCAGCCATTTCTGGTTGAGGATGGCTTCATAGAACCGGGATGAGTAACATGTGATGGAGGAAATGGTGTTTAAAGGAAAATTTAGGTAGAGAGATGGCACATCAAATGGTATGCAACTAGAATAGCACATGATGCCTTTGAGGGGCAGTTACTGATTAAGTACAGTGGTTACTGTCTCCTATGTGCCAGGCATGTGTGAGGCACTGGCCCTGAGGAGACCACTTGAGTGAAGCAATGGATCTGAACGCACAAACAGGGGAAAGATTAAGGAAGGATGTTTCAGGGTTAGATTATGAAGCCCAACTAAGCAGTCTGACTCCAGGACAATTAATTCTAAGATGCAGGAAGGAACTGGTGGAAGTGAGGACATAAATCAGGAAGTTACAATAACTTAGCAGAAACAAACTATCCTCAAATATGCCTTGCTTTTCTAACTTCACACTTTTTGTTTATAGTAAGACTTAGACATAGGCAATAACATGTCTAAACTAGGAGTAGGGGAAGACAGACCATGTTTATGTTCAATTTATTAAGGAACTGTCAAACTCTTTTCAAATTGGCTCTGCCATTTTGTAGTCCTACCAGCAATGTCTGAGGGTTCCAATTTCTCCACATTCCTGCCAACTCTTGTTATTATCCCTTTTTAAAATTGTAGCCATCCCACTGGGTATGAATTGGTATGTCCTTGTGGTTTTGCATTTCCTTAATGGCTAATGATGTTGACTAACTAATGACCTTTTCATGTGTTTGTTCCAAATATTTTAGAACAGTTTTCCTTTCATTTATTCTATCTATATTAGGAAAATTTTTCCATGTTATCAAATATTCTACAAAAATGTGATTTAAAAATGTAAACAGTAGGTTTAAGAATCATAAAGAGTAAATTCCACTGTAATCTCAATCCTGGTCACTAACCATTTCTTAATACTCAGCTATGTATCACCCCTAACCACATTCCCCAGGTATGGCTTTATGAGGTTTAAGAAAACTTAATTTGACTACAGTTGTCCAAAGGCTGGATCAAGTACGTGTATCTACTTATCCCCCAAGTCTCACTAAAAGTATACAAGGAGTAAAGTCATATAGTGCTGAGAAAGGGAAAGGGGGCACTTTAAAAAATCTTAGAGGAAAGGCCTTTCAAAGTCTGAACCAAAATTCAAAAGTTGAAAAAAAAAGACTGATAAATCTCACAATATAAAAGTCAATTTCTGTATGGCATAAAAACCATAAACAAAGTCAAAAGACAAATGACAAACTGGGAAATAATATCTACAAATCACATAACAGAAAAGAGACAATTTCTCACATACTCAAAAAGATTTTCTACAAGTCATAAGACTAGTAATTCAATAAAAATGGGCAAGAGATATAAACAAATCATAGTGAAGAAAATAAGAATTATTCAACTGTATGTCAAGATACTCAGCCTTACTCACAGTAGGAGAAAAAGAAAACTACAATGGGATACTATTTTTCATTTATCAGAGAAGCAAAGATTAAAAGCTTGATAACCTAGTATTGAGGAGCGTATGGGTAACAAGCCATCCCACAGATGGATAGTGGGGCTATAAATAGGTACAACCTGTATGGGAAATAAATTTGCAATATTTATTAAAAATTTAAATGCATATACCTTTGGATCTAGCAATTCTACTTCTAAGATTTTTCATATAGGGGCTTATTTTCACATGTACAAAATTGTGCCTGAACCAGGTTATAAAATGCTACACTGTGTATAACAGCAAAAGGCTGAAAACAACCTGAATGTTCTGCCTAAATAAATTAATTTATGCTTTATCTATATAGTGGAATAAAATGCAACTATACCATGCAAAGGATGAGGAAGCTTATTATATACTGATATGGAACAAACTCTCAAGATCAAGTGAAATAAGCAAAGTGTAGAGCAGTATTTATGATCTTATATCATTTGGATTAAAAAAAGATGAGTATGTACTTGTGTAAGGAAGGAAAGAAAGAAATAACTCTGCCTCTGTGAAAGGGAAGAGCTGCCTGAGAAAGAGTTTTATTTTTGTACTTTTGGAATGTTAAGCCAAGTATATGTATTACTTATACAAAAAATAAAAAGCTTAAGTGAAAGGAAATAAAATTAAAGATACAGTTGATTAAAGCCAGGAGGGAAAGTGAAAGTGAAAGTCGCTCAGTCGTGTCTTGACTCTTTGTGACCCAATGGATTATATAGTCCATGGAATTCTCCAGGCCAGAGGGGGCAAAAGAGGAAGTAGGTTTCTTTCTTTTACTTTGACACACAGATTTTGCTATTTTACTTAGAGTGGAATCAAGAGGTACACCAGCTGAGCACTGATGTCGTGGCCACTGGAAAGAGTAAAAACAGAAAGAGCTGAATGCGATTTCGTCAGGGGTAGTGGGTATTGAAGTTTTTATTTTTCGTTAATACTGTTCTCTAGACCTTCTACCTTGAGATTTTTCTCTAAGTAAGGAAAGTTATATATATATACCTGACCTGAAATGATGACTTCAGATGGCCATGATTTCTTACAGTCTTTCTTTCTTTTAGGACAACCACATTATCTTTCTCCTGTGACAACCAAACCAACTACGGAAACAGGTCTGGTTTTAATCTTAATAAATAAAGGAGGAAAGTAAGCTTTTGTCAGAGTGTGCACTTCTTTCCTTACTGAAACATTGTAGTTCCTGCTGAGGATCCCGGTCCACTCTCCCTTCTGGGCTGGGTCAGCATTTCCAAAGATGGCAATGTGCTCTGGTCTGGGACTTCCATGAAGAGTCTGATAAATCTCCTGCTGCAAGTGGCTGCAGTCCACCCTTTTCAGCCTGAAATGAAACACCACAGAGCCTGGAGTCCAATGTTAACATCATAATGTAATTCAGTCAAACATTAGAAATAATATCAAAAAATAAATTATGGGAAATAATCCTTCATAGGTATAAAAGACTCAAACAAAAAAAAAAAACAAAAAAACCTCTTAGCAATATTATTATTTAAAGACTATTCCTAACATTCTCTGAACCCTAATTCAAAACATAAAAGTTGCCACATCATATATTTCCTACAGATAGAGATAAATATGTTAGAAATGATGTGGAAGCAAAGAATTACCTGAGCTTGCATCCAGATATTGCATTCACTCCAAATTGTACTTCATGTCTCTTAATAGCGCAAGTTCCATCACCCTGGCTCTGTAAGAGGGTCATCTGAGGTGGAAAGTGATGGTCAAGGAGATCATAAAAGAAAAAGTAAGCCAATTGGAAAATGTATATTTCTTAATATTTGCTTAACACTATTGTTTACTTTACTAATATCATGATATTATTCAAGTAACATTTTTGTTTCCCTCTGGCAATGAAAACAGAGAGAATTGTTTTTCCAAAAATGACCATGTACCTTAAATATCTCATTAAAATAAACACAATTCAGTCAGGATCCTCACCTTCAGCCAGTCTAATATAAGTTCTAAAGCCTTTGATAGCATCTGTGTTTGAGAACATAATACATTAACAGTTCGGTAAAGGAAGTCCTCGGGGCTTCCCTGGTGGCTCAGTGGTAAAGAATCTGCCTGCCAATGCAGGAGACATGGGTTTGATCCCTGGGTCAGAAAGATCCCCTGGAGAAGAAAATGGCAACCCACTCAAGTATTCTTGTCTGGAAAATCCCATGGACAGACGAGCCTGGCAGGCTATAGTCCATGGGGTCTCAAGAGTCAGATACAGCGACTAAACAACAACAAAGGAAATCCTCAATACCTAAAAAATGGGGGAATCACAGAATTGGAAAATCCAAAAGACCAGTAACTAAAGCTTTGCTCAATAGGCTGCAGTAGGCCACCCAGATACCCAAAAAGGATACTGAGTGTCTTATATCACCACTTAGAACCAGGAGTGGCTTTCCGACAATATAGCCAGGATTCCCACTTCTAGACCCGGTAAGAGAAGCAGCTGTGCTCTGTTGGAAAGCCTGCAGAAAGAATGAAGGGAAGTCAATATGGAGAAAGTCATGCTCTCACTTTTCCAATGTGGCCCCATACACTTCCTTAGGGCAATGCTGCAGGTTAGCTGCACTGAACAATCTGGCTTCCTTCCACAGTATAGCATTTTGCAAAAATTACTCCTCCAGCATCTTTTACTTTTTTTAATTCACTAAAATAAATCCTTATTCACATCCATCTAAACACTACGTCTACCAAGGATTGCAACTAAAGATCTATCAAAGATTTCTCAATCCTGTTTTCCAAAATTACTATTAACTCAGGGCTATGTTCAGTGTAGCCAGAACCAGAGGAGTTTAAATGTAATTTAGAACTATATTTTAATTAACTATAGATGTTCCACAGATGAACTCTGAGTGACATGGGATCTGGTGAATCATTTGAGGGTACAGTTGAGAAGAAACTGGACTCTTCTGTGTTCAAAAGGAAAGAAAGTAGAAGAAAGTCAAAAGGTGGTGATCAAGACTAGAAACTTAGATTAAGCGGGACATGAATAAAATGCTGAATGCCCAGAAACATGAAAAAAGCTAGTTAAAGAATTTGTGTGGGATGTTAGCTGAGTTTATGATTCAAAATGACTATTTTAAAAAAGTGTTTGGATTTGTGAGTGAAGTCCTGCTTTGCTGGGGGAATATGCTAATGAATAAACATTGCTGAATCCTTATCACTCAAAGTTAAATTACAGAATGTTAAATGTTGAGACTTCAGTTAACAGACTGAACTAGGTCTTCATATTCTTATTCTATCTTGCATGTATTACAGAAGCAGGGGAACTATTTCTAACCCATACTTCTTTTTTCTTGGTCCCCTATAAGAGAAGAATCCTAACCCTGAAGTGAATGATGAAATCTTGCTGTAATGAAGTGCCTGGCTCAACAGTCAGGTTCGTTTGTCCAAAACTGACGGACACTTTCTGGATTCCAAAAGTCCCATTGGTCTCTATCTCATAGATGACCTGAAATACAAAAGTAGAATCAATTAATAAAAAATATTTTGTGGGCCAATTATGTTTAGGACAAATTTCTTGTCTTTAAGGGTTTTACTATAACTGAATAAGGGAACAAAATGGTGACTATAGTTAACAATACTGCATTGTGTATTTGCAAGTTGCTAAGACAGCAGATTTTAAAAGTCTTCATCACAAGAAAAAAAATTGTAACTATGTGTGGTGATGAATGCTAACTTATTGTGGTAATTGTTTCACAGTAGATACACATATCAAATCATTATGCTGTACACCTAAAACTAATTTATATATCAATTATATCTAAAGTAAAAAAATAATTGGATGAGGGAGACTAAAAGTGTTATCTTAAAAATGCCAAATACAAATACTATGAAAAGATAAAAGTTGACTTCATATTATATCTACACATGAAAAAAGAAATTGAATAGAGCTCTTTGAAAGAGTTCATGGGGGGGTGAATTTATGGTAAGAATTGAAAGGAAAGAAACATAAATTTTGACTGCATGCAGAGAAAGTGAGTAGGAGCACAGGCAGAAGTGAACATGGAATGGAAATCTGGTTTACTCTGCTTTCACCATATCTGAGGATGAGTTAAGATGGTAGCTGGAGATGGAAGTCATAAAAAGGTAAAGGTAACCTTAGATTTCTGAGCATAGGTTTTAAAATGATGCTTTCCAATAATTCTTACTTCTATTTGTTGATTAGAAGAGAGAGAACAGAGGAAAAGACGTTGACTAGTCTATTTCAGACTTTCAGATGATACTGATTTTGTCAACAAAAGAAATCGTGGTCAGTAAAAACTGGAACAGATTGCACATGGGCAAAGAAAGAAGAATGAGAAATAATCTTAATATCCTGGACATGAAATGACAGAGGACAGTAACAATGGAAACGACTTAAACACATTGGGAGGTAGGTGACGGGCTCAGTTTTTGACATGTTAAGTTTCAGATAATGCACAAAAATTCACATGGGGTTGGTCTGGTACTTAATGGAAGATGAAGCACCTCTTGTAATGCTGATCAACATACATTAGTCCAGAATCTGACGTCAGCATCCCTACCTGAGAAACAACATTCTGACAAGTGTTTCCAGCCAACACAGGAGAGCCAGCCTGTGAGACAGGTGTTACAGGCACCTGGAACTGGAAAGGGAAAGAGGCAGAAGAAAGCATTTCCTCTTCTAGCTTATGTATTATGCTGAAATGAGTATTTTTCCCTTTTTGACAATCACCTTCCTTTCTCCTTCCATTGCCAGTCTACAACTTAAGGTCAAAAGTCACTGCTACTCAACACTTCCCAAATGTATTTTTGGGAACATTACTTGTATTAGATATAAAACAAAGGCTCCTCGGTCAAATAAGTTTCAGAAATATTGTATGCGACACGTCCCTTTTAGAGATTGAGAAGGCTTTCTAGTATATTAAAAACTTTAAGAACTTCATCCTAAATATAAGGTTTAACTTTATTTAACCCAGAGTTTCTCAAACTTAGCTAATACCTTATGTACTCTTACTTCATATGATACTTTAGAACACACAGACACTGTTTTAGACTCATTCTTGAACAGCCTGACACATCACACATAATTCTCTTTTACCATTACAATCTAGAGTGAAACTGCCTCAGATGCAAAGGAATCAAATATTCTCTTTTTCTTTTTCCTGATAAAAAGCATCATACCTCCATGTTCTGCAGATCACTCATACCTCTTGGAACCTAGTATAAGAGAACAGCAAGGACATGAGTGTGCATGTATATCTTACATAAAATCTCCAGGAGCTTGTGGTTTCACGTTTGTGGGAGAAAAAAAAAAATCAACTTTTTTTTTCTACCTGATTCTTCCTTACACTAAAATGCCAAGAGCAGATTGAGGGGAGTCTAGATGGACTGCAATGCCCACCTTCTCTGAGCAGAGCTCTAACAAACAGCAAAAGCAGGAAGTTTTGGTGAAACAGTGATGTCTCCCTCTCCTACCTCCCCTAGAGAATTCCATTAACTGGGAGGGTGAGAATCTTTCATCCTGGCTACCTAACCTTACTTCTTTCATCTTCAGATAATAGGGCTTCTTGTCCTTCTGCCTTTTATGTGGCTCTTAGGCATTCTGACTTCCAGTTCAGTGCTTTCCCCACAAACCGAAAGTGGGAAGCATGGTGACTTTTAAGTCCAGTGGTGACAGTGGGGAAAGAAGGGACACCCACCTTCAAGACTGTGAAATTATAGTAAGAGGCAGCATTGAGGGCAGGATCCGAGGTACAACTATCTGCCAGATTCTTGAAGAAATGAGCACAGGTTGTACTTTTACTCTCCAGGAAACCTTAGAATTAAGGGAGCAGTAAATAACAAAGCCTATTTTTAAGTTGAACAAAAAGGGTAGCACTGGTGTTCTGGACTCACCTGCAGGATTGCTCTTAGCACAGAGCCCCCCAGCTCCGACTCCTGCAGGCTGCTTCAGCAAGCTTATTACAGACCACTTGGGGAAGTAAGTCAGAATGGGGTCACCAGCCTAAACAAAGTAGAGCAGAAATTTATTCACAGTGAGATTGGACTGAACTCCACCAGAAAAGAATAAGAAACAAAAGTTAACTCAGTAGCTTGTTAATGTGGACAATACTTCCCTCCAAGAAAGCTGACAATGGCTTATCTAGGTAATGGCTAGGTAAAGGTAATGGCTTACCTTAACTTTGAGGTGGGCACCTCAAAGATACTAGATCAGTTGTCACTATGAGGGGAAAAACCAAAGAAACAATCCATCCCCTTCCCCAGGCTCACCCTGTAGAAAGGTGGTGGTGATTGGGTTTGGGATGTTGAAGTGAATGATTCACCTCCAAACTCTGTAGCCAGGGCCTGGAAGTTGGTTGCATTGACCTTTTGGAGCTTCTGGAGATAGTTTAATCTTGCTAAAATATTTTTTAAAAGAAAGATGGTTTAGATAAAAGAAAATCATTCATTTTTAAGTATCTGAAATACCAAGAAACTAGTCTTTAAAAATATTTTTATTCAGGCATAAGATATACACAGTAAAGTATACAAGTGCACTAATCTTAAGCATAAACTCAAGAATTTTTAAACATTTATACTTTTTTTTTTACTACCACTCAGATTAAGTTATAGATTTTCCCCAGAAGTTCCCCAATCAATGTGCCATCTTCAGAAACAATAACGATTTTGATTTCTATCACCTTATAGTTTATTTATAATCTGGTAATTGAATTACTGTTTAAGTATTAAGATCTGAGACAAGAATATGACCAATGAGTGCCTGTCAGTTCCAAGTCTCTTATGTCAGGCATATGTTAAGGTTAGCAATCTATGATGAACATAGGAGTCTTGGTAATGTGTGCATCTGTTCCATTATAAGTGAGTCTCTAGTACCACAAAATGGTACTGTTTTCATAGGAATATGGCAGGGTTGGGGACAATATCTGACTTGTCCTCTCCAAGTCTTCCAGTTTCCTCTATATTTCAACTGACTAGTCCTCATAATAAAGTTTCCATCTTTCAAATATATGGATTTGTCATCTTTTATTATTTTCACATTATAATTTCTACATTCAAGATTTTTCAAATACCCACCCAAAGGGTATTTTGGTAACAATTCTATAACTTATATTATAGCAATGTATAAATCTTTTCAAACTCTTGCAGCCATCTTCTTATGGCACTTCAGAACCAGGAAAGAGATGCAGATAAAGGCTTCTGACATAGTCTCCTGCCCAGAGCGTGGCTTGTGATGAACAACACTCTGCTTTACTGTCCAAGTTTTCTGCTAACTTGAAAAAAGAATGTAGCAGACAATGGTCCATACTAGTTTCTTTCATTCTTCATAATTATGGTCATTTGAACAGATTCAAAAGGAAATTAAGATCTGCATCTCCAAAAGCTAATGAAGATGCCATATTACATAAGCCTGACCTTTATCCTCTGTGATCATAGGGTCCTAATCACTTGACTTTTCAGCTTTCTGATGGAACAGGAAATGAAGAAAACTCTGAATTGGGCCTTTCACACTACTCACTTTCTGTATATCTCCTAGGTCTGTGTTATTCAGAGTCTGGTGCACAGAGTAGCAGCCCCAGCATAACCTGGAAGATTGTCAGAAATTCAGAATCTTAAGACACACTTCAGACCTACTGAATGAGAAAGTGCGTGTTAGCAGGAAGATCTCCCAGGTGATGTGTGTGTGTATTAGAGATGGAAAAATCTGCTCTGTAACAGGTGATGCTAAGTTCCTGGTCTGCAGACTACCATCTTCCATCTCTGATCTGAAATCTTCACATTTTGAAGCTTCCGGAAGCTGTTTAATATACTATTCCTTTCAGAACTCATACCCTGAAAACCACATGGAAGAAATACTTACCTCACTAAAAAAAAAAAAAAAATGTAGTTATATCTATCTTTAGAAATGAAAGAAGAAAAGTTAGAGTCAAGCTAAAAAAGAAGTTGAGATAGAAAATATCCATCTGGACATTTTTTCATGGCTTAACTGAGTAAGAGAAAGTTAACCTTTTGTCTCTCACTTCAGTACAGGGATATTGGAGGTAGTGATGGTAAGCAGGAATCATGCACCTAAGGAGCATGGGTAAGGTCATAAATAGAATTTTTGCCTAAAATTTCCAACATCATATATGGAATATTACACATAACAGGGCTTAAAGGTATTTAGACTTAGACTGATACAATTTCAGGTATGGAAGGAGGCCAGAGGTCCTGTGGCCCAATCCCATTAGGAAATTTGGATCCTGAGAGGTAAATGAGTTGCAAAAGGCCACAGAGCCATCTGGCAGAGCCAGAAGTAGATCAGAGATCTTCTGATTCCTGGTCTAGGGTTTTCCCCACTTGGTCAATGCTGTACAGTCTCAGTCGAGGGTTTTCCCCACTCGGTCAATGTTGTACAGTTACTGATGGTCATTATCAGCAAATATTAAGCACTGTGGACAAATTCATGGTCCATCCTTTCTATGTGCTGACAATTTACCTGGGGAGACACAACATTCATATAAGATGACAACAATGCAAAGTATTCTGTATGTACTAAGGGGATTCAAAGCAGGAAGGCTCCCCCCTCAAAAAAAGCAGGAAGCCCCAATTTGGATGTTATTGCGATATCCCTGGAGGATTTTCACAAGGCTGGAACTAGAAGGTAATAGGAAATTTGGGAAGTATGGTGTAGCTGCAGCCTTATTTTATACCTTAATTTTTTTGGCCGCATCTCAAGACATGCTGAATCTTAATTTACTCACCAGGGAACGAATCTGGGTCCCTGCATTGGAAGCACAGACTTTTTACCACTGGACCACCAAGGAAGTCCTGCAAACTTATTTTAAAATGGAGCATTTGCCTTGCTCCCTTTATCTTCTCACAAACTGAATGGCAGCAAGGCTCTTGATAACTGCTTCCAAATTGAAGTTCCCCAAACCCAAAACTGGTTGTTTTAGGAAACAAACATAATTTTGCAGTTTATTTTCTAACAGTCAGATGAAACCAGGATAAGCTGACTTCAGAGTATAAGGGACATTTAAGTCTTTTATGTGAGAACATTATTTTTCTTCTTAGACAATAAATTTTAAAAAGATATATCAGATGTATATCTTTAGAAATGTTATCACCAGAAAATTTCTAAGTCTATTTAAAAACTTTAATACCAACTACTTTTCATGTTTATTACACTCTGCAGTTAATAAACTGAGTGCTTTCACATTTAGGATTAGTGATATTTCTCTTTTTCCTGTTGAAGAAATAAGCCTGGAAATGCTAAGGGATTTGTCGAAGTGTGCATGTGTGCTAAGTTGCTTCAGGCATGTCCAACTCTTTGTGACCCTATGGACTGTAGCCCTCCAGGCTCCTCTATCCGTGGGATTCTCCGGGCAAGAATACTGGAGTGGGTTGCCATGCCCTCCTCCAGAGGATCTTCCTGATCCAGGGATCAAACCTGGGTCTCTTGCAACTCCTGCATAACAGGCAGACTCTTTATTGCTGAGCCACCAGGAAAGCCCACCAAGTCTGTGCAGGAGTAAGTAGATGGAGAGTTGAGACCCAAGTCAAATGCTCTTTCCCCTGTGCTGTTGCCTCACGAAATAAAAACAAGGTTGATATAGACTCATTTGTCAAAGACATTCATTCAAATATTATTTGTTGCCTCCTATGTCTGGCACTGGGAATTCAGTGAGTGTCTTCATAGAGGTTGTAAGAAGTCAGGGATATAGTTTATCTGTAATTACCTGAGCTAAGAGGGTGGACAGAAATTACAATTTTCTATGGATTTTCTGATCCACAGCCAATAGGGCAAAAGAGATTGCCAATGTTCACCAATAAGAGAAAAAAGAGAGGGTCGGGGGACAGGTAGAGGATAGGAATGATGAGCGACATCCAATGGGAGGAAAAAAGGTTTAAAAAAACAAAGAAAAGAAAAAAAAAAAGAAAAGGAAAGGAAAAAAGTCAGAGACTAAGCTAACTCTCAACAAATGTTAGGCAATACAAATAGCCAACATATTTCTACTCACAATTGTTCACATGGACACAAAACTGCTTGATTCCATTTGAATCCATGAAAACTCTTGAAGGAAATGGGGAATTACTCCTGAAGATAAGAGAGTTGTCTACGCACACCCAACTTGAAGACCTATGAGGAAACCGGAGGAAGAACAGGTACATTTAGAAGGAAGATTATATCCAAAGAAGGGTGCCCCACCGCTGTCTGTCAGATGCCAAAAAGATTACTCCTTGGGCAGCCACGGGACAACACGAAGGTTCTGTTCTACTGGGCAGCCGTGCTTTAGAGCATCAGAAGAGGGACAGCGCTCCTGGGAATAATCAAGGGAGTTCCATTCCTTGGAGTGGAAGTGGGGATGGGAGGCACGAAGGCAAAACTCTTCCTACTTCCAAATTATTACTTAATCCCCTTTAGGATTCAACCTGAACATCGCAGCTCACCTCACGCTGCCTGGAAGGCAGAAGGAGAAAACTGTCCTCGGATGGAGAAGATAGCAGTCACTGTCGCAGCAGCAATTTATATCACAGGCACCGGGAGTCAAGTCACAGACACAGATCGGTAGGACTATGAAAGTACAACATAAAACACAGCGAGTGCGGTGAGGATCCCCAAACTCTTCCAAGGTCCTTTCGACAGCTCCATTCCTTACTTTATGGGAATTCATTTTGTTATACACATAATTTTGGATCTAAGTCGGTAGTTTCCATCCCCACATCCTTACCCCTCACCTGGGAAGAGGCTCACGGTCTTATTCTCCGGTGTCGAGGAGGTTACGACAGTAGGACCCACCGTAGATATCCCAGGAACCTCCGAGGATTGAAGGGTCCCGCCCTGCGTCCTTGGCCCCAGGTCCGAATGGGTGGGCATTGCCTTAGACGGAGACGGAGAGGGCTGAGAGAGGACCCTCTCGGGGACCATCAAGAAGAACACCTGCAGTAGCGCGAGCTGCAAGCTAAACATGGGGCAATACAAACCACCCTCACCCAACCCCAAAGGGTTTGAGGTGGCTTTCAGCGGTCGCTAGACGCGTCGCTAGAAGCGTCGCTAGAACGTGGGTGGGAGGAGTCGCGTGGCGTCAACGTCATCCGTATGCGCTCACGTCATCCTGGCTCACGGCGACGGCCAGGAGCTCTTCAGCCAATAGAAGTCGGCGGTGTTACAAATCCTCAGCATCTTTCAGTCCGCGCCCTCCTCCTGCGACCTGGCCCTGTAAGGTCTCCGTCGCTTGGCAACCGACGGACAGGCGCAGGAGCCCTTGCCTCTTCTCTCCGCTGAGTGGCAGTAGGAGTTCAGCCAAATGCCGCGTGCGGCTCTACTTCGCCTCCAAGAGTCCTTCCTTGATAGAGGGAAGCCCCAGAGACTGCAACTAGAATTGCATCTTTTCCACTCCGGATTCTAACGCTGAGAATCCTTTTCTAAAGGATATTCTCAAGGAAGAAAGTACACTGAAGGTCACATACCTTAAAAAAAAAAAAAAATCTCATCTAAGTACAATATTTTGGGGGGAAACATATTAGAAAGATTCATCTCCTTCAGTTTTAACATTGAGAACATTTTCTTTAAAAAATAGCCAAGGGACAGAGAAGACTTTTTTTTCTTTTTGCTGTTATTATAAATCGCAACCTTTTTTTATTTTTCCCCCCCGACTGCGTCGTGGCTTGCGGTTCTCTGACCAGGGATGGAACCCAGGCCTATTTGATAGCCAAGGCCCACTGGACTGTCAAGAAATTCCCTAAATTGCCACTTTTTGTAGCCCTCTTTAGAAAATTTTGTTTCTTTCCCATTAGTGCTGTGCCTCTTCTGACTCCCTAGTGCAGCACTGGCCAATAGAACTTTCTGCAATGTGAGAAATGTTCTGTATCTACACTGTTCAGTATGGCAGCTTCAGGATATATGTGGCTACTGTGCACAGGAAAAGAAAGCGAAAGTAAAAGTTGCTCAGTCGTATCGGATTCTTTGCGACCCCATGGACTATACAGTTCATGGAATTCTCCAGGCCAGAATACTGGAGTGGGTAGCGTTTCCCTTCTCCAGAGGATCTTCCCAACCCAGGGATCGAACCCATGTCTCCCTCATTGCAAGCGGATTCTTTACCAGCTGAGCCACAAGGAAGCCCAAATGTTACTGAGGAGCTGAATTTTTAAATTTTAATTAATTCAGAGTTAAATAACCATGTGTGACTCGTATTTAACATATTGGATAGTATAACTCTAGGGTATCAAAATCTTGCTGTTAGATCCAGTATTTTTTGTCAACCTGCATATTCCTGATACCTGGATTATTTCAATTGCTTGGTTGGGGATATAAATTAAGACCTGTTAAGAGTTATCGGCCTTCCCTAGTAGCTCAGATGGTAAAGCATCCGCCTGCAATGCAGGAGAACTGGGTTCAATCCCTGAGTGGGGAAGATCCCCTGGAGAAGGAAGTGGCAACCCACTCCAGTATTCTTGACTGGAGAATTGCGTGGACAGAGCCTGGCGGGTCACAGTTCATGGGGTCGCAAAGAGTCGGACACGACTGAGCGACAAAATGTGCACATGCAAGAGTTATCTAACATCTAATATGCTTATCAAAAACTAGCCAATGCTTCCTCTTCCATAGGCAGGTAAATGTTAGGGCACCTGACCTTGCTCACATTCTTGAAGATACTGATATTCTAGTGTTTTGAATCTGGTAGCTAAATATATCTCTGTGTTATAAACATTCTCAAATATGTTTTTGTGTGATTGTGTGATGGACTTCCATAAGAGATATCTATATTTGTGTTTGGGCATAAAATATCTGCCTTCTTAGTAATTTCCATAGGAAAAGGCCAAGTTCATATTACTCAAATTATATGTATTTACTGGACTATAAGCTCCAAAAACAGAGGGTTTTTTGTTTTGTTCACTGCTTGTATCCAATGCCTAGAACAGTGCCTAGGACATGCTAGATATGCATTAAATATTTTTTAAAATATTGTTTTGTTGAACTCTTTAGATTTTGCTCCTATGAATATTTAGTGTTTATATTAATTATGAACAGCATTTCTTTATATTCAGTTTCTATAACCAACTGGAGACTATTTTAGATTTCCAAGTTTGCATTTTACTCTTTGATTCTAATCAATGATAAATCAATGATGTTACTAGTGAATTTATTAGTGTTGAAAAAAGAGTCTGTTGATTGAAGCAGTTTCAGGGTTGAATGTAGGGAAATAACATTAATGGATTACTGAGTTTTTTTTTTTCTTATTTTTGGATTTTACCACTTTGCATGCTTTTTAAATACTTGTTTTCTCTTTTTTGTTATAGTGGAGCAAAAATATTATTTGTACTTTTGTTGTGATATGTTTGTAGGAAACTCTGTAATACAGAACTTTCAGTTCTTTTGAGATTTTAAAATCTGGAAGATAATTTTGAAGAAGGACAGGAAGTCTATTCACATGTTTCACACAGATGCCAATTTTAACATGAGGATTATATTGAACTAGCTTAATGTATCACCTCAGAAGCAGAGATTTCCAAAAAAGATCATATGATACTGGCAGATGTCTGGGTTTGGTACTAAAAGAGTTCAGTGTGTACTTAGAAATTTAATGAAGAGATGTAATCAAGATGGCAGACTGACAACAAGTTCTAGTCTCTCCTGACTCGTCCCCTGTTTAGATTATCCCAAGAATCTTTAAAAATTACAAGAAAGTTATATGAGCACACATAGTCATGTGCATCCATGCACATACATTGATACTGAAAAACATTAAGGAGTGCTCTCAAAGGACCAAACATTATGACAGTCTTTGAAAAATAGATGTAAAGTAATTAGCCTCCAACTAATAAAAATAAATGAAAAAAAAGAAAAATAGAAGGCTCACAGGACAGGATTACAGTTGGATAAACAAAGGCTGTATAAGCAGAGGCTTAATATTGAAATAGGGGTGGCTCCTGTGGATGTTCTAAGCACACAAAAAGAAGCTATTGATCTCAAAGGGCCCTTGGACAATAGAGACACTGACTGAGGTACCACTGTAGGAAGAGTCAAGTAGGTCAGCCTTTCAGCCTTGCTTCCATGTGCAAACAATGGATACAAGAACTTGCTCCTAAAGAAGGCAGGGACAGCCATGTAGGCACTTTTATTAAAAAGACAGGACAGGGCCCTGGATAGTTTATTACATCTAGGGGGAAGAGAGGCCTCACATCTTGAAGGCTGGTATCAGTTCCCCTTCTCAAGGTGCACATCCAACATTCCCTCCTCCACAAATCTATAAAAAAACATAGGTTAAAAAGGATGCACTACTTTCAAAAAAACAATAACAAAACTCACACCTGAATTTTTAACAGAAATAAGGAAAGTGGAATAATGTCTTGAAAGAAGTTAATTTGACTTCTGTGCTCAGCAAAGTAGCCTTTAAAAATGAAGATGCAAATGTGTTTAGAAAACAAAAATTAAGAAAAACATTTTTTTTTTTACAGATCCTCACAAAGAATTGCTAAAGAGAGTTATTCAGGCTAAAGGAAAAATGATCCCAGATGGAAGCACAGAAATGCTGGAATAAATTAAGAGCAATGGAAAGGACAAGTACAAGGTCAGTATATAAAACTCAATTGTATTCTGATATTATAGAAATAAAAAATTAGAAAATAAAAAACTTTAGGTGATAAAATTTATAACATAAAAATTGAAATCAGTTCAGTTCAGTTCAGCCATTTAGTTGTGTTTGACTCTTTGAGACCCTGTGGACTGCATGAAGCACGCCAGGCCTCCCTGTTCATCACCAACTCCGGGAGTTTACTAAAACTCATGTCCATTGAGTCAGTGATGCCATCCAACCATCTCATCCTCTGTCGTCACCTTCTCCTCCCTCCTTCAATCTTTCCTAGCATCAGGGTCTTTTCAAATGAGTCGGTTCTTCGCATTAGGTGGCCAAAGTATTGGAGCTTCAGCTTCAGCATTAGTCTTTGCAATGAATATTCAGGACTGACTTCCTTTAGGATGGACTGGTTGGATCTCCTTGCAGTCCAGGGGACTTAAGAGTCTTCTCCAACACCACAGTTCAAAAGCATCAATTCTTTGGCACTCAGTTTTCTTTATAGTCCAACTCTCACATCCTTACATGACTACTGGAAAAACCATAGCTTTGACTAGATGGACCTTTGTTGGCAAAGTAATGTCTCTGCTTTTTAATATGCTGTCTAGGTTGGTCATAACTTTTCTTCCAAGGAGCAAGCGTCTTTTAATTTCATGACTGCAATCACCATCTGCAGTGATTTTGGAGCCCCCCAAAATGAAGTCTGTCACTGTTTCCATTGTTTCCCCATCTATTTGCCATGAAGTGATGCGACTGGATGCCATGATCTTAGTTTTCTGAATGTTGAGTTTTAAGCCAGCTTTTTCACTCTCCTCTTTCACTTTCATCAAGAGGCTCTTTAGTTCTTCTTCACTTTCTGCCATAAGGGTGGTGTCATCTGCATATCTGAGGTTATTGATATTTCTGCCAGCAATCTTGATTCCAGCTTGTGTTTCATCCAGTCCAATGTTTCTCCTGATGTACTCTGAATATAAGTTAAATAATCAGGGTAACAATATGCAGCCTTGATGGACTCCTTTCCCTATTTGGAACCAGTCTGTTGTTCCATGTCCAGTTCTAACTATTGCTTCCTGACCTGCATACAGATTTCTCAGGAGGCAGGTCAGGTGGTCTGGTATTCCCATCTCTTTCAGAATTTTCCACAGTTTGTTGTGATCCACACAGTCAAAGGCTTTGGCATAGTCAATAAAACAGAAGTAGATGTTTTTCTGGAACTCTCTTGCTTTTTTGATGATCCAACGGATGTTGGCAATTTGATCTCTGGTTCCTCTGCCTTTTCTAAATCGAGCTTGGACATCTGGAAGTTCACGGTTCACATACTATTGAAGCCTGGCTTGGAGAATTTTGAGCATTACTTTGCTAGCGTGTGAGATGAGTACAATTGTGCGGTGGT